AGGGGTCCCAGATTCCTCATTAAGAGGTAGCTAGGAGCCACAATAAAGGGTAGTTCGAAGCCCTAAACCCCAACAGTTGGAGGTGAAAATGTCAGCACGGAAAGCTCTCGACCCGCAGTCTGTGCTACCGAAACGATGTGGGGGTTTCCGAAAATAGGGGACTGTAAGATAGTACCCGAAATAATAGGATCCTTATTAAAAGGACCCCCAAATAAGGTACCCCTAATTTTCGGAAACTCCCATGTAGGCTTTGGGCTTTACCGGGCTTCAAGACTTAGGGTTCAAGGTGTCGGGTTTAGGCTTTGGGGGTTTTTCTGGTTGACAGGGCTTGAGGCTTAAGGTTCAGAGGTTTAGGTTTAGGGCACTTTGCTCGGTTGTTTTGGGTTTAGGACTTGCGGACAGGAGTGAAGCGCCAGAAGATCCCGAAGAGCCTCAGCAGTGGGACGACGATGAGGACTTCGCCCGAAGCTGCAAAGCGAAGCTCAGGATGAGCCACTTAGGGCTTTAATCGGGTTTGTTTTCAGGGCTTCAGGGTTTAGGGTTTAGGGTTCAGGGCTTCAGGGTCTTCGGGTTTTCCGGGTTAGGACAAGGTTTAGAACCTCTGGTAAGAAAACGGCCCCGTTGGTGTTGATAAGCATGGAGCGGGCTCCTTGTTTTGTTCCGACGTCAGCCGCTACTTTTGGCATCGTTGCGATCGTACAGCAGTTTGCTTCGGTCAAGGTCTCATCTGTTTTGCGAGGAAGCACCAATGTTATTCCTAGTTAACACCCGTGCGAGAGAGAGGGAGACAGACAGAGAGAGAGAGAGAGAGAGAGACAGAGAGAAAGAGAGAGAGTGAGTCGGCCCACCAGAGTACGCATGTTTTTTGTTAATACTTGGAGCCTTGCCTCCCCCTTTTTGGAAAACCCACGGATAGCCAACATTACTTAAAGGATCATGGGACTTAGTAAGTAGCTTATGATTAGGCTAACTATACTTAAAACCCCAATTAAGGTGCTTACAACCTTACTTACTAAGTCCCATGATCCTCCAAGGTAGTGACCTCCTTATCGAAAACTTCTAGACCCTAAACCCTAAACCCTAAACCCCCGGACCACAAAACTCCAAACCCTGAGCCCGAATCTTCTCGCAGGAGTGGGATGAGGCGCCTGGCTCAGTGCCTGAAGGTCAGTTTGTCGGAGATAAGCAGTTCGACTTCGAAGACGATGACGAGTGGGGTGACTTGGCTGCTTTCGTTTCACCTTAGGGTCAGGGCTTAATGTTGAGTTCTTCATACTAACCCCGGGGTTTATAGTCTAGAACTCATAACTAAGGCTTTGGGATTAGGTGTTTTTAGATTTTGGTTTCTGGCTTACAGTATGGAATCGGCGCCCATATTGAATTCCTAAACTAAAGACAATCAGGGTGAATCAGATGCTTCTTGGTTCAGCACCTGGGTTCAAAGTCCCAGCTTGCATCTTAGCGGTTTAAGGTGTAGGGTTGAGCATGTCGGGAATAGGGCTTCCAGATTGTACGACTACGGTGTGGGGTTTTCAAGGTTTTGTTTGGGGTTGAAGGTTTCAGGGTGACGACTTTGGGTTTAGTTCTTCTGTGTCAGCCTTAGCATGTCTTAGCCTGCCGTAACCATCTCCCATTTTGAAATCTGCAAGGCCCCTTCGACTTTCTATGTTTGGGTTCAGATTACCTGATGCCCTGGCAACAAGTATGTTGTGATACTCTGGGGCTAGGGTTGCCTAAATAGCAGGTTACAGGTTAATTATGGGAGTTTCCGAAAATTAGGGATACCCTATTCTGGGGTCCTTATAATGAGGATCCTACTATTTAGGGTCCTATATTAGGGTCCCCTAATTTCGGAAACTCCCATATAGTATATAACCCAGTAACCCATTGTTTAGGTCCCTGCGGTCCCCGGCTAGCGCTTGGTACATCCCAATCTTCACCTGGCAAGGTGAGGATGAGGAGGTCCCGCCCATGCGTTTTCGCGAGGGTGTCGACGGTGAGGAAGCAGCGGACATGGCGTACTTCGACGACGACGATGATGACGAAGAGTGGGATGCGACTTGACTGTTAATCGGGGCAAATCTGCAGGATGTACCAGAACCAAAATTCAAACCCGAAGCCTATTCCCCAAATGCTATTCATGTGGCACTCGAATCTCCAACCTTGTTGCTCTGTGATGACTTTCACGCAGTTCTTGTTTGGCAAAATGCGACTTGTCGTTCCATGATTGACAGCAGATGACATCGGTGTCCTTCTGCAAGCAGGCACAGTCCAGTGAAGGAATGCCACACCAAATTCATAGTTCATCATCTCATACGCCAAAACATACCTGCTACAAATGCTCGCGAGCATGTCGGCAAAAGGACTCGAGGATTGGAGTCCTTTCTCCTGTTTGCAAGGGAGGCAGGGAAGGAGGATGAGGGAGGACTTTCGTTGAGGCTCCCAAATTTGCTCGCTACCTGTTACGCGTTCAACCTCTTGGAGTGTGAACTACGTACTGTAGGGTGGAGGCGCGGTGGGGGAGCTCGCTCGCTGCAGAGAAAACAACTGCAACTGATTGCAAACATGTGAGCCTAAATGGTGGAACCAGGGCTCCATCCAGTACTCAAAGAGCCCGGCGAATCATCCTATTATAGGCGCTTAAACAATTACCGATATTATTCCAGGGATGTTTCTAATCTATCTAGGTGTATATATATATATACACATACTCGTACTTATATTTTACACATATATATATATATATATATGTCCGCTTATGGCACATTAGACTCCAAAGCCCTTTCCAATTAGTCTTGAGGCCCCTACCTGACACTAAGTCTCAAAGGGGAAAAGGAGGGACCCTTAATAAGGACCCCTTGGTAATATACCCTTTATTTAGCTATTATATACCCACTATATAGCCCATTCTAGGCTAAGGGTCCCTTTAAGGGTCCCTCCTTTTCCCCTTTGAAAGTTGGAAACTCCTGTAGGTCTTTAGCATAGGTCCTGCGCCAGCTGAGGAGGAGCAGTACCGCATGGCTGGCTTCGACGGAGCCCAAGGCGAAGCGCCTGGAATTAGAGACTTAGTTCTCCAATACCAAACTTTTCAACTTTTGGGGTTCTTATAGTTTAGTAGTAGATATTTTAGCCTTTGATTTCTGTGGCTTTTTGGGGGAGTAAGGAGATGTAGATGACATTTCCGGCAGCGTCTTCGATGGTATGGATGATCCAGCACCGGATGCTTATCTGCACCAGATTCTACGCAAGGTTCCAGATGCAAAACGACCCAGCTTGGTAGTGTAAGCAGCATAGTTACGGATGACTATGCTCGACGCACAGGCTTTCTATCTGGGTTCCTTTAAGACAGAAGCGGCTGCAAGTTCCAATTAGGACGCTGCAGCTCTTAGGAACCACACCCAAATGTAAGTTACAGAAGGCTTGGTGCATCCTCAGGAATGCCTTGTCTGTGGAGTCTGAAATAGTAGCATTAAAGTCGATTGATGCAACTGTACGAAATTGCAGCGGACAACTTGCGGCTTTAAACACGTCTTTCTTTAGCTTTACCAAACTATACTATCGCATTCTAACTATTAAGGCCCGTGAAGCCCTAAAGCCGGCTTCTGCATGAGGACAGCCGGCCGTCGGAAATTCCGAGCTACGAGGTCATGGCTCCGGGTTTGCTGTTGAATTTACATTCCTTCAGGGTCCATTTGCCCAAATCGGAGTCTCCGAATAAAGGGGGTACCTTATTTGGGGGTCCTTATAATAAGGATCCTACTATATCAGGGTCCCCTATTCTCGGAAACTCCCAAATAGCATATACTTTGGTCCCAATGTTCACATTATAAGGGGGTACGGTAAGGCCAAAGGACATACTATTTGAGCACATGGACCCTTATGCCCTAAACCCTTATAGACCCCTTAAAGGAGACCTTCAAGAAGCCTTTAAAGCAACCTACTTGGGTACATGGAAACTTAGGGATTCCGGGAGCTGGATAGATCGCTTTCGGGCCAGTTCGGGCTTTTGCTATGCTTTCAGAGACAGGAACGAAGCTTCAGTGCAACAGCATACGTTGTGTATAGACCTGTGAATGTCCATGCTAACTGCTAAGCCCAAAATTGGAATCCTAACATCATATGCTTCTGGACCGCATGCAAGAAACAGAAAGTTGGGTAATGTCCATTGGGAATTCAGCTCTTACGCTACTGAAGTGTTGGTTTTTGTTCGCGGTAGTAGCAGGGGCAGCAGCTGCATTTGTCGTCGTGGCAGTCGTCGTCGTCGTCGTCGTCCGCCACGCCGCAGTGGTAGCAGTATCAGCACGAGTATTGTTGTCGTTTCTTTCTGAGTTCTAGTGGGCCATGCTGAGAAGTTGAGGCTTGTTCTCCGACGTCCAGAGCGTAGGAAAGTTGTTTCTGCACTCTTATCTTATGGTTGGCCAGCTATGCAAGCGAACTCTCCAGTACTAGATACATAGATGTATATATGCACATATTCATTCACATATTTGTATTTAGTTGGGTACATATGTGTATATATATATAGAGAGAGAGAGAGAGAGAGAGAGAGAGAGAGAGAGAGAGAGAGAGAGAGAGAGAGAGAGAGAGAGAGAGAGAGAGAGAGAGAGCGAGCGAGCGAGAAAAACACGAACGTCACTATTCATTATCCATTGATCTTTTCAGGTCACTACTACGACAAACATCTCGTGCTGTCCGATCTGGCCTACCCAGCCTGCTCGTAGTTTGAGAAGCCCGATTGAACTTGGTGCCAGGCCTGAAAGATGTATGACAAGGTGGTAATGGCTGCGTGTGGGGGGCGGTCATGCCCCATATCATATCTCTATTCAGAAGCTCGAAACCGGTCACCCCTCCAAGCGAAGCAGTAGACTCAGTAGACCCTGTGCGAAGTACAGCGTTGAACCCTTAATCCTGAACATAAAGAGCCCCTAAACCCTAAAACCCTAAACAACCCTGCAACCCTAGATCCGCAGACCCTGGAATGCTAGCAGCCTATTGGAGCCATGTGCCTCTCAGCCGTGCTTGCAGTTCTTCACCTCCAGGCCCGGGAGAGCTGAGGGAGGGTTTAGGCGTGTAGGGTTTAGGGGTTTGGGGCCTAGGGTTTAGGTTTCGGATGTAGGGTGTAGAGCATCAGATTCATCTGAAGAGCACGCAGATGACTAAAGGAACCCTACTATGAAACCCAAAAAGCAGTATGACAGCCCTATAGAGTCGAGTCTCGCGCAGCCTTTGGAACCAACCACCATGCATAGACGTATTGTGGGTTGAAGTCTTTTCTGTTACTATTCCGAAGGTCAGCGTTTCTCATTCGAGGTGTGTTGCTGCAGCTGTGATAGGTTTGGGGGTGCTTAGGGCATTCAGGTTGTTTGTCTAGTTAAAGCCAGCATGCCGCCATTTCAAGCTTCATGTCCTGTGGAAAGCTTCTGAAGCTTCCTTCTCGTTTCCTGTAGCCGTAGTGATTTTTTGCTCAGCTCTTGAAGTCTGACTTCCTCGACCCTCCTCCTTCCCCAATATACACAGAGAAACACACAGAAGGACAGCAGTCATGTGCTTCTGTGGTCCCGAATCACAAGCCCCAAACCAGCTCCCCGCCCGACGACTCGCCTCTCACGCCGCCCACGCCTTCCAGAGACATGTTTAGTGAAGTTTAGTGTTGTTGTTGATTTGGGTTTTGGGTTTAGGGTTTGGGGGCGTAGGGCTTGGAATTAAGATTTTCGGCTTCGGGTTCAAACCCTGAACCCAGGAGAAGAAGTCATTATCTTACTGCCTTCAGGCAATCTTGGTCAATGCTGAGAGAGGCCAAGTGGATCTTCCTGCCATGGGCTCAGAGTGTGTTTGTGGTCTAGGCTGGTGATGCTCAAGGGAAGTTCTGGGTGCTTGAGTGTCCTCGAGTGACTGTAAATATTGTTTGCGCTGAGCTAATCTGCATATTTGCCGAGGTGCAATAGCTTTTGTCACCCAGTTGCCATGGCATTCTTGCCTTCACCCTCAGCTAACCCTGAACGATTAATTTAACCCCAAACCCACAATCCCCAACCTTTAACCTTAGCGGAACCCTTGACCCGCCATTCCGTTGGGTGTAGGATTGTCCTGGTTTGCCATCACGAAGACCATCTTAGGGGACTCTAAACTGGAAGCACCAGAAACCCCAAACGCGAACCCCTGCACCCTGAACCCTGAGCCCGAACCCCCACAACCTAAAGCCCCCTTCAAAAAGACAAACCCTAAATCTCAAACCCTAAACACCGAACGCTCAGCCCGAAACCCTTAACCGACCCAGCAGCAGAAGGATTGGCAAGAGCCTGGACATGCCAGAAAGGGTAGGAGAGGCTCTGTGCTTGCTCCGGATGTCAAGGCGCACCCCTTCCAGGTTGTGGTGGTAGCGATTTTCAGGCTTCTATATGCTCTTAAACCCTTAACGCACAGCCTTTTAAACCTGATATCGACTCCGAACCTTCTATAAGGGTCCACAGGACCTCATAATTTGGTACTTGGGTTTAGGATAGAAGGTTTGTAGGTCGGTATTTTGGAGAGTATTCGATGACGAGGTACTTAACCCTTACCTTAGGGCCAGACCCAAACGAGAAGCCCAAGAAGGACTTCCGAAAGACTTCAACGGGTGTGGACTTTATGGGCTTAGTTGGGGTTTCTCTTCTGGCTGCCTTGTTAGAATGGGTGTTGAGTCCAAATTAGTAGGATTGTTTGTAGTTTCTTGTATCATGTTGCAACGGTCACTTCGTCTCCGCTTTATGGGGCTTGGAGTTATGGGTCCAGGGGTGAGTGTTGTTTGGTTGACATTCGCATCCATAATGTCATGTCCTGCAATTTGGGGTCTTCACCATTTGGTCGGCTGACCAGAACCGAGTGGGCACATCCCACAGGTCCGAGTCCCAATAGCTAGATATTCACAAAATGTTTGGTGTGGTTGTCCTTTTTTGCCATGGTGTTTAAGTGCTTGCTAGAGGAACAAGCAAAAAAAGGAGTGTTACCAAGCACTTTTGGCACAGCTTAAGATCAATAGGGGGCGTATGCATGATACGGTTGATGATAGAAATCCTGCATCACCCATAGTAAGGAATTAAGGTATTGCAGGATTTATGTCATCAACAGGCTGTCTTTGGTGGTTGGGGGCCGGCGGCCCGAACTGTGGCTTTGGGTTGTGGAAGCACGTGTCCGCCCTGAACCCTACAAGCCTAAGCCCTACTTGGAGGATTATGGGACTTCGTAACTAAGTTTCTTTTTATAAGGTGACCATACCTATAGTTTTACTCCAATGAGGGGACTTGTAACCATACTTACCAAGTCCCATGATCCTCCAAGTAACACCAAGCTTCCAAGCGCAGGACTCTTAAACGTCCCACACCATACACCCCAAACCCTTAAATCCTTAAACCCTAAACCCCTAAACCCCTAAGCCCCAAACCCCTAAACCCCCAAGCCCCAAACCCTAAACCCCTAAACCCCAAAGCCCCAAACCCCAAAACCCTAGACCCTACACCCTTTGTTGCAAGACAGGAGCCCGAGAGCGTCATGGAAGATGTACAGGTGGAGAAATGCTTTTCGACCTTAGCTTGCGTGCCGTTCCCTCTAGGGTTTATGGTTTAGGGGTCTTGGCTGAAGGTTCGGGGTTTATGACATGGGTCTAGGGTTTATGCTTTTCGACCTTACCCTAAGGGTCCATGTACCCTAAAAGGGTTCCCTGTAAGGGTTTAGGGTACATGGGTCCATGTACTTAACAGTACTCCCTATATAGGTACATTGGTCCCAAAGTTATATTCTATTTGGGTACATGGAGCCTTAGGGTTTGGCTTGTGTGCCATTCCCTTTAGGGTTGAAGCCCCGGGGTTTATGACACGGGTCTGGGGTTCCGGGTTTAGGGTTTAGGGGTCTGTCTGGGTTCGGGCTCTGCAGGTTTTACTGTGTTGCTAGGATGCCCAGTAGTACCCTTCTTCCCTTTTTGTAATCCTAGGTTCCTTATAAAGTTGCCCAATACCAACAAGAGAGGCCTTTTTATTCTTAGGTTACTGGGTATCCTAGTATATTCTGGTACCCTTATAGATCCCTTATAGTACCCTTTTTAAAGGACCCCTTTAAAGGAACCCTAGTACTCTTTTTATTCTTAGGTTGTGGATTTGGGGTTTTAGGATCGAAGCTTGGGGTTTCGGGCCTAGGATTGCAGGCTTTGGCGGCTGCGGGGTTGTAGAGTCTGGGTGCTCAGAATTTAAAGGGAACTCCAGAAAGTTGGAATATGGATTAATGGTAGGATCCCCTATAATTTACCTTAAACGGGTTACGAGAATGATATTCCAACTTTCTGGCTTCTACTGTAGCTTGTTTGCAGGGTCACTGTATTGAAACGGAGGAGTAAGACCAACGGTAGGCTTAAACCTCAAATCTAAGCCCATGTACAGCACTAGCGGCTGCTACTGTTAGGCTAATTAAGTCTCTGTGTTAGGATCCCTTGCTAGGCCCCCAAGATAACGGCCCTAAAAGGGACCCGAATTCGGAGAACTCCCCATCAAGTGTTTCAAGGTTTCTGGATTTCCCGACCGACCCGATTCGATGCGAAGGTTCTACTTCCGACACTCCTGTGCTGAGGGAGTGGCTTCGTAACCTTGGGGTGGACGAGTCTTGGCTATAAGGTTTAGGGTTTAGGGTTTAGGCTACGGCTATTCTTGAATGCTTTCGGTTTAGGGTGTGTGTTTTCCTTGTTTTGGTCATCAGTGAACAACTGGGTTTGTTCTGTACTTGTACCTACCGAAGATAGTGCTGCTTTCATGCGGTTAGGAGACTTCTAATCATGAACCCATGTGGCTTCAAACGCACTCCAGGAGCATGTCTACAGGAGCGACGACCACTGCACTTGGGACGGGATCAAATGTTGGAAGAAGCCGAAGCAGAACAGGTGCGGTCGGGGAACCTTCTTCGATACGCACTAAACCCTATACTGCTTGTTAGAAGCAACAGATACACAAAGGCAGCGCTCAGTCTTGTGTAGGTTTAAGAAGGCCCGAAGAAAGGCAATACCCATATCCCAAACCCTAAACCTCAACCTCTGCAACACCTTACTATAGTCTCCTCGGGATTTTTTGATTTTTGTTCATATAAAACCCAAGAAAATATTGAACATATTACATTTGTTATGGTTCTAAGGATGGTATAGCTTATTAAACCTGAACCTCTCAAGCCCGAAGCCTTAAATCGCAAGCCCTGCCACCCTTGGAATCAGTCAAAGGAGCTCCCCTTTAAGGATCCTCTTAAAGTGCACTTGCAAGGACCCTTTATGAGACCCTTATCCAGGTGTTCTGTGAGATCGATCAACATGGCATTATCCAGCTATGCGAACAGGAACTCTCCTGTAACCTATGGTTTGCGCGGTCGACTGGGGCCGGTTCCAGTGAAGTCTGCGCAGCTGTGCTGCACATGTAGGTGGGGCTACAGTATCGTTTTCTGTAGGCTACTTTCGATTCTGATTCATTTTGTTAGAGTGTTAGAGAAGGTAACATGAGTGTTTGTTTTCAAGGAGCATTTCTCACTGTCAAGCAGTTGCAGTAGCACAGGCACTATCAGCTGTTGTCGCAAGAAGCCTTATCGTTTCCTTTCATTACCCGCAAACTGGAAGTACTCAATATATGGGCCGAATTTTTTATCTATACTACTTTGGAAGTTCTTGACTATCCTCATAGAATAATGGGCCCCAAAACCCTAGTCCAATCAACAAGGCCCCTATATTACACTAACATGTGCATCCCGACTGCTCGCGAGCACCTGGCTTCTTGCTTAACGGACATCCCTAACGTCCCAGATAGGATTAAGGCGACCCCCGAAGGGTTCGTTTAGGTTCTTCAAGGGTTCCTTTACTGGTTCCTTTAAAGGGGACCCTTCTTAACCCTTCTTTGGGTTCTCTTAAAGGGGCCCTATTCAGAGGGTCTACATCCCCAAGGCTTCTCATGAGAGCCTAGTTCCTGCAAAGAGGCCTCTCTACTTTGCCTACTTGGAGGATCATAGGACTTAGTAAGGTTCCTTAAAGGGCTCCTTAAAGGGATCTATAGGGTTTAGGGTTTAGGGTCTACTTGGGAGGATCATAGGACTTAGTAGGTAAGGTTATAAGTACCTTAAGCGGGGTATTATAAGTATATAGTTACCCTAGTTATAGCCCTAGTTACTACGTCCCATGATCCTTTAAGTAAGAGGCGCAGCACTGCTGAGGGTTTGAAGCGAGTTCTGAGTCGCCAGAATACAGAAATCCTTAGCCCGTGTCCCTACGGCCCCAAGCCCTTAGACACGAGCAACAGAAGTCTCAGGACAAGCATCGAAATGTATGGGAGCAGACATCTCAATGGAGATTTGGCGTCCTTTGCTGACTTGGGGCAGCTGAAATTATTGTATTTGCAGGCCGCTGTCTGGGACACCATTGAGCCGGATTTTTTTCGGTACGTGCAAAGCATCGTGGGTTTAACGCTTAACCCCGAGTGCTCCCTAAAGCCTTTGCGCCCTTTAAACGGTATATGAGACAGAATGCAGGCAGCCAAGGCGAAAAACGCTAAACCCAACCCCTCAGCTCTAAACCCTGAAGGAAGTCCCAATGCACCCTTAAAAAAACCCTGAAGGATACTAACATTACCGGCGACCTCCGAAGTCTGCAGAACTTGACACGTCTCAGGACACGCGCTGGGGTTTGTTGTTTAGAGTTTCGGGTACACGGGTTAGATCCGGTTAGGGTCTGTTGTTCAGGGCTTCGGCCGTACGCAATCTAGAGTTTCATGTGTTCGAGTACGCGGTCTAGGGTTTGGGGCGGAGGTATCTGCATCTTGGAAACCTTGCCGTTGGGGGCAGTCTGGAGAATCTGGCAAAGATCACGACGTTGAGGAAGCTTCGGATACTAGGATGCCCAGTAGTACCCTTATTCCCTTTTTGTAGTCATAGGTTCCTTTTAAAGTTACCCAATACCAAAAAGAGAGGCCTTTTTATTCTTAGGTTACTGGGTATCCTAGGATACAGTACAGCCACATATCCGGCGATCTCCGGCATCTGCGACACCTCAAAGACATGGGGGAGCTGTTCCTTCAGAAGACCAGGGTCACCGGCACTCTCCAGGGCATCGAGAGCATGAACAACTTGCGGTATTTGCAAATCAGGAACACCAGGGTGGCTTGTCAAGTTAGATTAATCATTACTGACTATTCATAGGTATTATTGACTATTAGCAATGGTCAACTGTTAACACTTATTGTTAATTAGTTGTGCTCGTTTTTGTTCTATATAGTCATCTTGAACAATTGGCTGTGAAAGTCTTTATAAGGCTGCCTATTGTTTTTAGACTTCAGTAACACCCCAAAACCAGAGGACCCCTGATTCATAACGTCTCATCCAAAGCCCAACATGTGCTTTTCGGGTTTCCTTTATAGGGTTGAGGTGTTTACAGGTTCAGATCCAGGGTGTGGGGTGGTGTGGGGTTGGGGTTTTGCTGTTCAAGGTTTTGGTTTAGGGCCAGGGTTTGTGTACGTCGCCACCAAACATTGGCACCCGCCCAGGTGGATGGAAATTTGGCTTCCGTGCATGAACTGTCCAAGATGCTCAAGCTGGATATATCTGGGACCAATGTGAGTGGGGACCTCTCCCACTTGAAGCTTGGCCAAGAGGGTTTAGGGTTTAGGGTTTGTTGTAAGATGCCCTAAACCCTAAACACACTATAGTATGCCATCGCTTCCTCATTGTTCTGGTATCCATTTTAGGCGTCGCAGTGGCTAGTAACGGTAGTCCTTCGTAGTCCCTAATATACGTACATAATTTATTTTGATATACACCAAACTCCTCTTCCAGCTTGCAAGGCTCCCATGTTCGTTTATTCAGGCGGTTGGGCTTAGGTGTAGAGTTTCCATACTAGAAGGACTTCAAACGAAACGCATGCATCGTTTTGGAAGGTGCACGCCGTACATAGAATCCCAAGGACTAATTCCTACAACAGGCCACAGGCAGACAACACTAAGCCCTGAACCCCCCAGGCCCCTAAAACCTGAACCAACCTCCCCCAACCCCCAACTCCCCTACTCCTTTGCCCTCTCCCAAAAAATGATGTACATGTATACCCCCTCCACCCCCCTTCCCCTTCCAAAAAAGGACATACATGTATACCGTATACCCTTTACCCTGAACCCCAAAATTTTACTACCCATGGTACCCCAGGAAAAGGATGACGAGCTTGACGCACCTGAAAGCTACCGGAACCCGACTATCCGGTAGTATCGACTCACTGAAGGCTGGCAGCGAGCATTTGGGGCCTAGATTTTAGGGGTGTAGGGCTTAGGGTTTAGGGGTTAGGGGTTTAGGGGTTAGGGGTTTAGGGCCTGCCTGTAGGTTGTAGGGTTTTCTCCGACCTGGGGTGAATGTTCCTGAGCTAGGCTTTTGAAAGGGCATCTAGTAATGTGCTTGCTATCGTTTTTGCTAAGGGGTGTCATGGGGCTTTATCGAGGTCTACATAGTTTCATAGAGGTTACGGCTACTATGACGGCTGGCATGAAGGTTGCCATGAACGCTAGTGGAGAGGTATAAGGTTTAGGGTCTAGTTTAGCATTTCGGCCAGAGGGAGGCCACACTAGGGCACCTCTAAGCGCCTGTGTCCGCTATTCCTCCCTGAGCTCGCGAAGGTGAAGAAGCGTTGATACCGAAGCTTCGTAGAGCCTACACGGGTGCAGAGTGCCGGTGGTAGCAGCAGCAGGAGGAGTAGTAGTGGTCGTGGTGGTGCTCGTGGTGGTTGTCGTGGTGGCGGTGGTGTGTTTGGGGTGGTTGAGGTGGTGGTGGGGTGGTGGTTAGTGGCAGTGGTAGTGGTAGTGGTAGCAGAAGAAACTACCAAAAGAGTACGTAGCAGTAGTAGTAGTAGTAGTAGTAGTAGTAGTAGTAGTAGTAGTAGTAGTAGTAGTAGTAGTGGTGGTGGTGGTAGCGGCCTTCCCTTGAGGTGATGCCAGAGCTCACTGAGCTTGATCTTTCAGGGAATTCGGACGTCATTGGTGACATCAGCAGCCTTGTCGGCTTGGACGATTTGACGCAGATCAGGCTCGCTTTCACCAGTGTACATGGCCGCTTATCCACACAACAATGGGAGAAACAACTGTTTCGCCTAACGATCCTGGACTTGACGGCACTGCTCTCAGTACTGTGTAGCAGTGCAGCATGAGTCTTGAGTAGTTCCTAGAGCGGGTGTGATAGAACGAGGCAACACGCTCAAAGTTCCTGCTTGGCATCGATGATTCGTCTGAGCTCAACTTCCTCAACAGAGTACTAGATGATGAGAAGGGCGCGAGGTTCATCCTGCCTTCCTTGAGGACCCTGAAGGTGGGTAGGGGATTTAGGGTGCTCGTTAGCTGCTCGTTTGTCGAAACTCCGTGAGTTCCGAGTCCCACAATGTATTTAATTTTTGTCGGGCTGTAAACGTTTGCTTGACCAGGTCTCTGGCTGCCCGTTGAATACCACTATGTCGGAGTTCCGCACGACGCTCAAGTTTTTACCGAATCTTACAACCATAGCTGCGGCGGGCTGTGACCTCCGAGGAGAATTGTCGGGTGGATTCGGTCCTCTCGATCCTGCTTGGTTGTACCTGGATCTGTCAGACAACGATATTAGGAGAATCGACGTGCCTGAGCTCCCCATGTTCTTCGGCATCGCGCGCAGTAAAGCTCCGTTCATGGAAATGAACCTCTTAGAGAATGCACTGCGGAAGGGATCATCGCTGGACTTCACGGGGGTGGACTTTGTCAATTCTCGTGGAGAACCGAGGGACCTGTTTCTCAGGGGTGTTTTCAGAACAACATCAAGCCCGAGCATGGTCAACCAGTCGCAAGGATACTTGGCCTTCTTCTGGTTGACTCTTGGGACTTTAACTTTTTGGGGTTTCTATTATGATTAGGAACTATAGTTAGGACCACAAAATTTGAACTTTTAGGAGGGGTTCAGAAGTCGGCCAAGGATCTGCGTGCAAGGAGCTGATGAGCTCAAATTTGAAGGCGGGCTGCCACAGACAGACCTGAAAGCCCTAAAGGGCTTCTTGCAAGGTTCTTGCTTCAAGGTTCCTTTGACCCGAAGGGTCCAAAGTACTGTTATGGGAGATTCTTCCCCAAATCATAATAGTAATTCCTAATATAGGAACCCTACATTCTACCATAAAGGTACTTTGGGCCCTTTGGGTGAGGGTTCCTTTAAGGATTTCCTTTAACGGTCGCGACGCAAAACTCCTCACTGGCACCGGCTGCAAACTTTAGGGTTCGGGGGATTTTGATTCTTGATCTTCAATATACTTAGTCGGAGGACTAAACCCTACTCGCTAAAGCCCAAAACCTAATGGCTACGGCTCAAGCCATTTTGGCTCAAGATGTTGGCTGGAGATTTTCCCAGCGGCTTAGCCTTTCGCAGTTGTCCAGTGGATGCATGGGATGCCAACACCCCGGACAGGTGGATCAACGCCATCCGGACATGCTGTGCAACAGTGGTATGTATACTTGCAAGTCGGAGCCACCTCTCGAAGACTCGCAGACAGCTGATTGGATTGCACTCCCCGCTTTGCATGTGATTCGAAACCGTGGATCAGTGCCACAGCTTCAATGGTCCGAGCATCGACTGAAGACCACAGGAGTCCCAAAGCCTGTGGAGCACAGCATGGAACAAATCGCATCTGGTGCATGGCGTACTATTGTGTCGATCCCGTGACTTTTATCTGTGCATCAGTGCAAGGGTTTTAGCCCCTCCCTGCGGACGCATGTCAGTGCAAGGGTTTCAGCCCCTAGCTGCGGACCAACCAGGAAGGCCGATGGGAGGCGACATTTGAGAGCTTGTACAAAAGTACCAATTTTCCCTTACGAGTATTGCCAAATGTCTGTACAGATCTGTGACACGTGACAACTTCCGCAAATCCGAGATCGAAATAATTTGGTGCATGTTATCGCGACGATTTCCCAGATGTATCCCAAATTGGAATTAAGTGCACGCCGGCGAGACGATTTCCCAGATGTATCCGTGAATTGGAATTAGGTGGATGGCAGCGTGATGACTTCCAAGATTTCGATGTGATCCCGACTCTGTTCCGTGAGGGACAGCAGAAAGTAGATTTTCCTCAGCATTTTTCTCCGTAGCAAAGCGGGGTGTGTTGATTCAGTGTATGCCCTCTTTTGGGTAGGCGCGCTTTGGAGAAAGGGGCGTCATTGCACTTTAAAAAAAAAAAGCCCAAAACCCCTAAACCCTAAATCCTTTCCTAAACCCCCCAAGCCTAAAGCCTAAACCCTAAATCCTAAACAGCCCTAAACCCCAATTCCTGAAACCGCGTATAGGGGCCTTAATAGTTAGAAGAGGGTTTTGGGGTATGTTATTCTATAACGATCACGAGGAACCCAAAAACCTTCAACCCGAAAATTTAAGCCTTAAAAGCCCAAAACAGTGTTGGTAATTATTAAGGCCCCAAAACCCTAAACCCCCAAATCCCTAAACCCTAAACCCGAGAGGTGGCGCCAGCGCTTTTCCTGCCCGAGGAACTCTGCGGCTGCCTCCCAGGCGAGGGGCTTGAAGAGTTTAGGGTAAAGGGCGTTTGGGGTTTAGGGTTTAGGTTGTTTGGGGTTGAGGGTTTAGGGGTTTAGGGTTTAGAGTTTAGGGCGTTTGGGGGTATTAGGTACCTTAGCCTTCCCAAACCTACTTTTTCTGGGCTCGTCTTATAAACCCTAATGTGCAATTTGTAGGGACCCTACAGATGCGAACGGACTGCGATGCCTAGTCAAGTTCTATGGTGTCACGATAAGAGCTGTGAGCATGGCCATGTATAGGTCAAGAGAGAAGGCACGCTACGCGTCCTTCGTCTCTAGGTTTAGGCTTGTGGAAGTGCTACGCACGCCGCAATGCCGAACCTTTCTGTATGCTTTCCGCCCACGCAACTTTGGCTCAAGGCTCAAGTGTGAGCACATGCTCTAGAAAGCATTGCCCATAGCTAAAAGCTATCGTCTTCTGTGACCTTCCGAGGGACAGAGCCATCCCGAGCACAGACGATCCATCGCCGGCCGCGAGAGTGCAAAACAAGCGAGCTCTGGATCTGCCTGCACGGGGAGTGAGGCTTACGTGTGAGAAAGGAAAAGAGAGAGTGGCTGAGTTCGTAGAGGGCAACCACGCCAGTATTCAACATAGCTCTGTGGGGTGAGCGACAAGGGCATCATCAAGATCAAATCCCCACGCAACAGAAAAGTCTGTTCTTGTAGGGCATGGTATAACATGGAAGGGTGAGTTTCATTCTTTTAAAGGGCCTTATAATGAGGGATAGTATATGGTAGTATATAGGGTTACTTCCATTATCGAAAACGGCTATGTGCTGAGGGATTTAAAGATTTGGGGTCTAATATGGGCTTGAGGACTTGGAATAGGGTTTTGGCGTATGTCAACAGTGGAGGGGGGAGTTCTAGTCAGGAATCCTATAAGGTGGCCCTAAACCCTCAAACCCAATATATGGGAGTTTCCGAAAATACGGGGTACCTAATTTTGGGGTCCTTATAATAAGGATCCTACTAATTAGGGTACTATATTAGGGTCCCCTATTTTCAGAAACTCCCATATAAGCCCCAAGCCCCAGACATTCACCTCCAGGCTGGGAGGGCCACGGCGTGCAGTGCAGAAAATGCCGCCAGGGCTACTACAACCCTGCGTGGCCCGGGTCTGATTGAGAACAGCCTTTTAACTGAGTATACCTTTACATAAAGGATCATGGGACTTATAGGGTTATAATTAGGGTAACTATACCTATAACTACTTATAGCCCCAATTAAGGTACTTCTAACCTTACTTACTACGTCCCACGATCCTTCAAGTAGTCTCCATCCTAAATATGCAGTTGGCTCAACCAAAAAGGCAACTACATTGGAGACTGTAGGTAGGATCATCTTCACAGCAGGTTTGGCTCCCAAAACAAGCATCCATTGATAAGTCAACCATTCTGGTGGTTGCCGACAATCTAAAGGTTGGAGACTGTGCAGCCACGATCTGTTCCACCGAATCACATTGTATTACATGACAAAGATAATTCACTATCTAGCGTGCAGAGCGCATCGGCTTCGGTGTTCGGCACGGCACATCCAAGAAGCACCATCTGCACCTTCTGGCAAGGTTGGCTTCATTCATGCAGCCACAACCCATTTGTCCTACGCCAGCAGCCACATGGGTAGTTCTCTAAATTTGTGTCCTTTCTATGAGTGTGCCAGACCACGTGGGGGACCTATAAGAGGACTAGTTTAGAGAACTACCCACATGCACGACATTCAGAGCTCAGCACAAGGGACAGACTGAGATTCCAACAGAACCCATATCCTAAAGTCACGATAGTGTCTTACCAGTTTATAATTTTCAAAATTACAGTATAGCAAGTCATATCATCTTACAAAAATGGGTTGCCTGGGGGAGTGTCTTCGCTGCAGCGTGCCAGTTTCCATCGCCAGGACCCTTCAAACAACATCCCCAATCTGGAACACCCCCCTGCTGCTCAAGCTCCCCAACGCATTTATGGTCATCAGGCCCCACCAGAGTAGGTAACATCAAGCCGTGGACTGAAGAGCCCTTACGTGCGAAATTCTAGATCCTGCACCCTGAACCCGACTCCAAAATCCAAACCTTCGACCCCTTGGGGACCAAATGACCCTCATAAGTAGTGGCCCTATACCCTTATACTATGCATCCCTATAAGGTATATGAATCTTACAACCTTTTGAGGTTCATTTCGTCCTTAAGGAGCCAACAGCAGCCAAGGTGGAACGTCAGCGCTTGCGTGCAGTGCCCTCCAGGGAGCAATACAACGGAGCCAGGTGGGCCCTCAACCCTAAACTACCCTACTTAAAACACCTCAAACACTCAACCCTAAACCCCAAGTCAACACCCTAAAGCCTAAACCCTAAACCATAAACACCTTAAGCCCTAATTATAAAACCTTGATATTACAACAGACAGGCGCCAGCTCCATTGACGTTTGCCTTTGCCGCGAGGGCAGGACGGCAGTATGCTTTGGTGCTTCTATACAAGTAGATAGGTCGATCGATAGGTAGGTTACATCTTTCGTTGGGTATATGCATATGCCTGCATAGAGGAATAATGTATGTACACACATGATATGTGTGTGTATGTATGTATGTATGTATGGACATTACCCGTTTATGTATTGACATATGTAGTGCACACCCGTGCTGAGACACAAGATACGATTCAGTCAATTGACAAACACTAAGTACAATAGGACTGAAAGATATATTTTTTTGGCACTAGGAAAGCATGACAAGTGCGTTTCCGCTGACATGTGTCTTGCACACTCGTGCCGAGATACGAGATGCTACCATATATGATGATGAACATGTATGCAACTGCTTGATAGGTTGACAGCATCCAGGTGGCATGTTGGAATTATCTGTACATATCGCGCATTCCCTGTATCTGTACAAGCAGTATAATGAATTATTGCTATCATAACAAATAAATAATAGCGATAAACTCCAACGGACACACACGCTTTTCGGCATGATACTGTCCAATTAGTTTAAATCCAGGTGTCATGTCGAACCCTAATACTAGCTATGCATATTAGGAATTCCAGTTGAATAGTCCTTAGAGGTATCGAGCTCATACATATATACATGCATGCATGCATACATGCCATACATATACATATATACATCATTTACAGATACCTATGCATATACGTGAACATATACATATGCATGCACACGTACGTATACATATGCATATACATATACAACACATGTACATGTACCTACACATGTATACAGATACATATTCCTAGACATAGACGTATACATATACACATTCACATACACATTTATATTCATATTCATATACAAGGCATCGACAGATTCATATGCATGTATACATACCCGTGCATATATACATACAAGTGCATATGTATATGTATATGTACAGGTATTCGCCTCCTGACAGTTCTCCCAGAGCTCTCCAAGAGGGGGATCCCGTGTCTGGTCCTATACTAGGGCTTATGGATTCCAGGCAAACCCAACCCACGCAAGAAAGGTACTAAGGTTTTCGGGTTTAAGGTGCAAGATCCGAGATGCTCGAATTTTTAGCATGCCAACATCACGCAGCCGGGGTTTATGGTGTTGGGATGTGGGGTTCAGGTTGCACCAGTGCTTCGTACAGTGTTTTGTCGTCTGTAGCCTGGAGCCTGAACGTGATTACTTCTTGCAGGATCCATGCCTAGCAATTCCTGACTTTTCGCAACCCTAAGCCATGAGCCCTCAACCCTGAGCCCTGAACCGGAAGGATCTTCAATTTTACCGGCACTCCACGCTGCATGTGCGAAGCACACACCGCCCTCCACAAGGGCATGTGCGCAACATGCGACGAGCTGTTTTTGGACCCAAGAGTTTTGGGTTCGGGCTTCGGGTTTAGGGTTCGGGCATTAGGGTTTAGGGTTTAGGGTTTAGGGTTCGGGCATAGGTTGTAGGGTTGAGGGGTTTCAGGCTTAGGGTGCAAACCCCATCACTGCGGAATCCTTTGGAACGATGAACTGGCTCGCCCCAGAAATAACGAGCCCACAACCGGAGCCCTTTTCAGTTGTGGAGTCTCAGCTGCCATTACATGGTGCATAAAGCCTTGATGTTGCAAGACACTCTTCAGGCGTGGTTCAACATTTGGTTTCAGGGTTGCGGTCTGACGTTTAAAGTGCTTCTTCGAGGCGTTTGATTTTGAAGTACCAAAAACTCAGTCAAACTTCACTGCTACATGCACCTTCTTTAGGCAACTCCTAAGGCCCTATACTAGGTATCGATGTGGGATAACTTGTAGTTACCCTTATTGCTTGATAAGTTGAATGTAGAGCCCCAGTTATAAATAGTTATTTTGGGGGACTGTTGTAGTATACTATGTTAACAACCGAAACAGCATCAACAGCCGGGAGGTCGGGGTAGGGGCAATGGTCGTGGTAGCAGTATGGTGGTGCCGGTGGTTGCAGCGGTAGTCAGTAACTGACGCACAAGGTTTTGCAGGCAGCTGGAGTGGTGGAGCGAGTCGGGGGGGTGCGTGGAGGATGTGGGGGTGGCCGTGTGTAGGGGCAGCAGTAGCGGCGAGACTAATGCTAGTGCCAACGCCTGTGCTTGTGGTAAGAGCAGTGGAAGTGGTACTTGACACCAGCAGCCGACGAGAAATTGGGTTTTCTGGTTTTGTAGGATCGAGATTTTGCTTGGGGAGGGGCATCAATGGCCAGAATTTGCCTAAATATGAACTGCAAAAGCATCCAGACCTTTGCATGGCAATCGTATGCAACTGCTCCCGTGTAAGACCCTGCGACCCCTGATGGGATCCTCAACTACACCAAGCCTAGCGAGCCTAGCGACCTCACACCAACCGTCGGTTTGAGCCGGTGGACAAACCTCAATCCCTGAACCTCAATCTTCAAAAACTAAAAACCCAGCAATGCAGAATGACGACATGAACCTAAAAGGGTTACAAATCCCGGAGCACCAAAGCATGGTGAGCAGTGTCATTGTTGCACTGTTCTTGGCTGAGCTGAAATGGGACGTAATTCTATTTGCCGCTTGGCCTAGTCCAGAATGTTAATGGGAAAGTGTCATGGCCCAGTTTTGGTAGCTAACTAGCATGACAGCAGGGAACAGATCCCGGTCTGCGCGATTTCCAGCATGCCCTGCCGCCGTGAAGCTTAGCAGCTTCACCATCCAGTGGCTTGCATTTTGTGTCTAACAACAGAAAAAGGACAAGAACAACCACAATTCAAATCAAGGTTTTGAGCACAAAGCACAGCACAAACTTCAAAGCTGAATGCTCAGACATATGATATATGTCGTTTCGCTGGTACAGGAAGCAACAGGGCACAGATGATTAGCTGATGGCGCCATCTCAGCCTGGACTATCGGCCACTGTGCAAGCAAACGCCTCAAAGCCTAAGCCCTAAACCCTGTGCCCTAAAACCCAACCCCCAAGCCGCTCTATATCCTAAAAATCTTCGCGTGCAACAGGACTGCCCACAGGCGGGGGCCACGTTCGAGAGCGCCGTGCCGAAGACTGGCATCTAGACCCTCTTTACGCTTTATGGTTCAGGGCTTGGGCTGGAGCTTGCGGGTTTAGGGTTTAGGGTTTAGGGGTTTAGGGTTTAGGGTTTAGGGGTTTAGGGTTTAGGGTTTAGGGTTTAGGGGTTTAGGGGTTTAGGGTTTAGGGTTTAGGGGTTTAGGGTTTAGGGTTTAGGGTTTAGGGTTTAGGGGTTTAGGGTTTAGGGTTTAGGGTTTAGGTTGAGGGGTCTCGATTGCCAATCATGTTCACTGGTCGTGATTAATAATCCCGGGTCCATGTACTTATGCAGTATATACTCGGGCCTTAGCACAATTAAGTATAGGAGCCCCTTTGAGGCCTAAGTATATATTCTATAGGTGCATGGACCCCTAGAGATTTGGCATTGTGGGGCTTGGGCCTACTTAGAAAAGTTTAGAGATTTACGGCGCCTCAGAGAATCAGCAAGGTTATGCGCGCCTTCGTCCTGGAGCGGACGTCTACAGGCCTGATGCCGTAACAGTGGGTTTTCGGCTTAGCTTAGGGTTTTTTCTTAAACCTTTAAACTCTGAACCCGACGTCTTAACCCCTACATAAACCTAAATACACCCTGAAGCCGAAATCCTTGAACCCTGAAGTGTGGTTTAGGCTTTAAGCTTGTGTAAAGTATAGCCTTTATGTAAGTTTTCCGAATGCTAGGATCTGAATATATCTTCTTTGATCGTCCCTTCAGTCCTCTATAATATATCCCAACCCTATTCTCTCGCCATTCACGTCCTCATATCGACTCCTGTACAAACATGTTTAAATCCCAACAACCCTACGAGGGGCTTTTGCAGAACACGTATTCCTGGTTATTGAGGCTCGTGTATTCGAACCTGCCCTCCGCTCTGGTGTGTGTGTGTGTGTGTGTGTCCCGGACAGTTGGAATGACTCCTACCATGTCCGATGGAATATGTTTTATGTACACCTGCACGATGATGGAACTACACAGGTGCGCCCACCATTCCGAATCTGCCTTGTCGTGTTTCGCAAGACTTCAAGGCAAGACTGTTGGCTCGCATCTTTTGACCAACCCCAGCATCGCAAAAGCAGAAATACTAGATGAGAGCCGCCTTCCCTAAACCCTAAACCCTAAACCCTACTGTCTTCAGGCAAGCAGCCACATAATGGTAGATAGGAGGATTCGCAGCCAGCGAGCTGAAGGCACTTTTTTTCGATTTGGCCCCCAAGTTGGACCTCAAACCCTCAAGCGCGAACACCCCGAAGCACTATCCCCAACCCTAAACCCTAAACCCCTAAACCCTAAACGCTGAACCCTAAGCCCCAAACCAGAAGCCCTATAGGAAATCCCGTCTCCTGCCGACCCTTTCCCCCGCACGCCGTTCCAGGCAAAATCCAGAGCCCAGAGACGCCAATATCCCTTTTTTTAAGGAATATACCTTAAAGCATATTAGGGATCCTACTATAATTTAAGGTATATTCCTTAATTAAAGGATATTGGAGTCTCTGGGAGCTAAAGAAACAAGAGACGCTAAGTTTCCTCCCTGGAGGGTTTTACCCTACCCCATTGGTTTATGGTACCTGCTTTTGCATATAACAGGTACGGTATGACGCTCTAGGGCACTAGCAGCAGTTAAGATGCATAGCACCAGTGGCAGTCTAAATCTCAACTTTGGTACTCGAGCCCTTTGGGACCAACAACTTCTTTAGGACGAACAAACCGTTTTTGAAACTCCTCCTACCTTGGGGACCAAATGACCCTCATAAGTAGTGGCCCTATACCCTTATACTATGAATCCCTATAAGGTATATGAACCTTAACCCCTTTTGAGGTTCATTTCGTCCTTAAGGTAAAGCTCTTACAAAGCCTCATTCTTCAGACTGTGGAGCCTCTATAGGTGCCTTGACCACGCCTCGGATCGTTGCAATGCAACTGACAGCCAGTCGGAGCTTGGCTGTGCTGAGGGCGACTCGGACGAACTGCCCTGAACCCCGAAACCCTCAGCCCCTAAAAAGCTTCGGTTTGAGTGCTGGTGTCTTTTGGCGGGTATTCTATTCGGAAATTATCGGGCTGCTACGGGGTTTGGGGTCTATAGGGTTTGGGCGTTTCAGAGGTTTGGGGTTTCGAATGTTTGAGGGTTTCGAATATTTGAGGGTTTAGGTCTAAGGGTGCAGCGGTTTTTGGCGGCTGTTGGTGTCTAGGCAGTTATAGGATCCTTAAGGGAGGGTGGTTCAAGGGGGGAGGGTATCAGGAATCCTTAGGGGACTGTAAGGGAACCTTAGGGAGTACTAGGGGGAATTAGGGATCACTAGGCTATATACCCCCTTGGACCCCCCTCCCTTAAGGATACTACAAGGCAGGGTTTTCGGACACAGGCAGGGCTTCAGGTTGGAATTTCATGCGATTTCCGAACCCTCACGGACCAAATGTGCACTGTAAGCGCTACTGCTCGAATGGTCCATACCACATGTATGGTCTAAGTCATAGCAGTCATAGCACCTTTTGCCCCTGATAAAGAGGTCGTTTGGTGCATCAGGCAGGTTGGTTCAGGTTGGTAAGTGGAAGCTTAACGCTGCATTCTCAACTTTCCTTCGCCTGCGAGGAACCCCGAACTGTTTCAACATCTACACCCACCCCTCTGGTAGAACTACCAATATCTGTCATGGCATTTGTTTTACGAGTGTGATAATATGATTCTTATTCCTTTTCCATTACTGTTATCATGAATGCCACGGTGCTGGTTTCTTGAATTACTACATTCAACTGTTGTCATCTTGTTGTTGCTTTTATTCTGCTCCTTGGAGTTGCCAGCATGTCTTATACTTGCTATGATTGTTATGCGTAATAGCTGTTGTGCTTTAAATCATGAACCATAAGTGGTTATCATGGCTACGGTCGTTTGCTATTATTACTGCCAGCATTGGTTTAACAATATCATGCCTCATGTTGTTTTTAACCACAAGAAGGGTAATACTAGCAACACCAGTAGTAGTAATGGCAACAACTTCTGATTAAGTTCTTATTGTTGCTGGTTATTCTTCATAGCCCGGCTATCATTATGTTCATGATTTTCCTTGTTCCTAGGGGTAATCAGTCAGTATGATTGCTACCATTGTCGTGGTCATCTTTATCACGATCATCAGCGTTGCTATGTGCTTTGTTTTGTCGTCGTGACGGTGATAGTTATGATGGTCGTCGTCATCATGAAAAGCCCGCATCATCATCATCATCATCACCATCATCATCATGCTAGTTAGCTACTTGGTTTCATTGTTATGGTGGCCTCATCTCTCTAGGTTCTGTGAGGGGATCTTGCTCTTGCTCGTGCTGTTCCTCTTGCTCACTCTCTCGGGTTTGTTCCCGTTCGCTCTCCTGCTCTTGCTCTTGCTCTTCAACTGCATTCACTCAAGCATGCTTCGGCAAGGTTCAGGGACTGGGATTATGACGGTTTCAGATACGGTATCTCGAATTGGTGCGTGCTCTCAATCCTGTTAGATCGAGTGTTAATCACTGCCCCCTGACAGTACACGCCCGCCCCCTCTCCACAAAATACATCATGCTAGTGTTTTATGACCATGACCCTGGTCATAATCGTGACGATGGTGATTATGGTTATAGTGGTAATGAATAATCGTCATCATGGTCATCATGGTCGTTACAGTAATCAGTATTGATAACGTTGTGTTTTTTGTTCTCGTCGCCCGGAAATTATAGAAACCCTCAAGAAGGAGTTTTCAAGTGCCACAGGCAGCAATTAGTTAGTTTCCGCAGCTTGCCCAGGATATGAAGGCCCCCTCTGCACCGCCTGCGCCGAATCCTACCGCGGCAGTGCCGGCCGGTGTTTGCGATGCACCGGCGCAGCTGAAGGCCTGCGTTGGCACATTCAGGCCTGGTGGGGCTTGGGGAGGGTGGGTTCATGGTGGGTTTAGGGGCTTCGGGCTTATATGTCTTAAGGTTGATGGTTTCGACTTCAAGGCGAACTAGGTGTTGTTCGGAAACCGAAGCTATCCTCGAAGCCTAAAGAACCCCAAGCCTGTCGGCCCTAAGTTGGAGGGTTTTAGGGTTTAGAGCCCACTGTTTTAGGTTTTTTACGGTTTTCGAACGGATTTAGGGTTTAGGGTTGAGGGTTTGGGATGATTTAGGGGGGATGTTAAAGTTTGGAGTTTTGTGCATAGCTACTGAGGATGGGCTTCGATTCACAGAGTAGCTTCGGTGCCGAGCCTTGTGAATGGACATGCCGAGAAGTTTCTCCAAACAAGCCTCTGTAATGTACACCCGAACTGGAATGCAAAGTCTATTAAGAATCCACAGTTTCCGGCTGAACCATATGTAAACCGAAATCCATGAAAACCTAAAGGTGGTTGCCGTAGCGACCCGAGTTCAACAGCGAACGCCGCTCAATTAGGGAGGACCGCTGAAAGTAGTCTAGGGGCCCAGACAGTTACCAATACTATTTTGGGGGTTCCTTGTTATCTATTTGTTGTGTAGAAAACCCCCAAACTCTCTTCTAATTACTAAGGCCCCCATATTACGCAGGGCGTTTCTCTTATTTGGTAGACGCATGGCTCAAAAAGGCCCGGAACCGCAAAGTCTGGGGGGCACTCTGCTTGCGGAAACGCTGAGCTGACTCAGCTTGAGATCCTCAAAGACTTGTTGATCAAGGAGTTTTAGGTATCATTGAAAAACAACGCGGAAGATCGGTATCAAGTTTCAGTTTTTTTCGTCGAGCTTCAAGTTCCGTCTTCAATTTTCAGTTGTACGTTATCGAGTTTGGAAGTTATTGAGATTTAGGTTCCGTTTTCTGCAAAGCTGCGACACCCAGTCATCCGGTCAAGGCCTTACATACCCAACAAATCCCAAACCCGAACCCCCTGAGCCCAAATGAAGGGTCGGTGGAGCTCCTTTAAAACATGAACCCCAAACCGAAACCCGCTTGCCCTAAATGGGAGGTCGGTGCAGCTATCCTGGCTGTGATTGTGGTCGGTGGCTTCTTGCTGTTCTGGAGGAAGCAGAGTTTGTCTCCAAGGACAGAGTTGAGGGGTGGACGGCTCCCACATTGTCCCTTATAAGGGTTCCTACAATTTTATCAGGATTCCTGTTCTTGAAGAGTTTTTGGAGGATCACTTGCGTTAGCAAGTCATCTGGTTTGCACCTTGTTTGGGCCCGTGAACAACAAGTATAACTTCTGAGGTTGCCAATCACTTTTGGTTTGGGGTTTCGGGTTCATCAGGGCTTACGGTTTGGGGTTTCGGGGCCAAACTAAGCTGTGGGCAAGAATGGTTTATGTCGACGCAGGAGTTGATTGTAACGGTTGTTCTAGACCCGTGTCGGGACCGGGGTGTTCCAAGATTATCGCTCTCAGACATCCACGTATCGATTATTTGAGATCGTGGACGGTTTCTATACGGTTGAGGTTTAGGGTTTAAGGTTTGGGGTTTAGGGTTTAGGGCTAGACAAGGAAGGGCCAGTTTGGAAGAGCACCGGCTGTTACAAGTGATTGTAACTCATGTCGAACTTAGACCATGCACGCCAAGCCTGAACGCAAGGCCCCGTATGACCCGTGGGTAGTATAAACATGAACAAGCCAGAGCTCTGCGAACCGCAACCGGGCCATGAATTGTCGTACCCTGCACTCACCTTCATTGCAATCGCGAACGACCAGCTTGTTGATCACCTTCATCGAGCACCCAACTCTTACGAAATGCCCGTGCACCCCGAACGTTCATGTCCGCCCCTTATTTGGGAGTTTCCGAAATTAGGGGTACCTGATTTTTGGGTTCTTATACGAAGGGCCCTTTTATTTAGGGTACTATATCAGGGTCCCCTATTTTCGGAAACTCCCAATTAAACCCAAATCCTAATCCGCCCTATACTTCGAGTTCTCAAGTTCAACGCATCTGCGTGCCGGGACAGTGCTAGCGTTGCCCTATTTCCCAAATGCATCGAACCTTGAAGGGCAGTAAACTCTAAACTAGAAGCCCAACCCGCCTAGCCTAAAGTAAACACCCAACTGTTGCAATGGCATGCTGAGCTCTGGGATTCTGACTTGCCTTCAATAGCTAACCACTACTGGACCCTGCAGGACCTACTTTGCTAAGGAATCATCTGCGCAAGCCATAAGGAGGAACCCTAAATCAAGAAACGGGTGGCTTATTTAGGGTCCAAGTCATGTAAGTAGCTTCAAAACAGTTCCAACCTCCTGGCTCCTTATTTTATAGGTGCCCTAGATCATCAACTTGGGTTGGAGGTTCCATGTCCGGTTGCACGGTGGAGGCTAAAATGGCGGTGATGGGGACTAGCGAAGGTTTTGAGTTCAGGGTATAGGGTGGTGCCGTGTACAGGGTTTGAACTAAAGCCGTGGACATGATAGTTACGGTTTGTGCGCTGGCAGGTGCAAGGTCCTAAACCCGGTCACTAGGAGGATCATGCGGCTTAGTAACTAGGCTCATAAATAAGATTCAGTTACGTTATAAGGTACTGTTCACCGTACTTACTAAGTCCCCCTCCCTCCAAGCACGCTTCTGGTCCGCATAGCTGCAAGCCCCTAGGAACAGTTCCGAGTTGATCTGGCGCGGAATGCTTAAATCTTGGGTGCTGCCCCCCACCAAGTAACAGTCTATATCAGGCTTCTATAGATAGCTACACTAAAATTCCGATCTAGCTGTTACAGAGTGGGGGCAGTGCCCAACTTAAACCCTTAAACCTGTAAAGCACAAAGCCCGATACATGTCCCCAATTCTGGAGTACGTGTTTGAATGCTAGGCTTCACCTGATATGGCAGCCTTTATACTTGCCATCTTTTTCCTTGTTGTAAACCCGGAAAGCCACACTATGGAAGCCTTGCTATACTTAGTTTTCCCTATCCGTCGAACTCGAACCTATACTGACACAAAACCTTACACCCTAAACCCTAATACCTCTGAGAAACTTTAAACCCTAGGCCCTGAACATTGGGCTTCGTGAGTCTACTTACTTGCGAGGACTCCGGTTCCGGAAGACGCGACAGTGACCGGAAGGATACCGACTGCAAGCCAAGCAGCTTCGGCTATGGTTAAGTCTAGCTATAGTAAAAGCCAGAAAGTTGGAATATGATTATCCTAAGCCCTTTATGGTAGATTATAGGGTATCCTACCCTGAAACCATATTCCAACTTTCCGGAGTTCCCTTTACATAGTTAGTTCACCCATTTACCACACGCTAAGGATATATGCAATGTTGGTTCACGCTTCAGTCTATGGCTTTTGAGGCTCCTAAGTGTAGGATTGAGGAACAGTCTCGTCACAACGGTGAAACTGAGTCCGGAGGGGTATATACATAATATAGGAGTCAAAATAATTACCAATACTATTTTGTGGGTTCCTTATATTATAATGATAGTATAATGCGCCCCAAAACCCTGTTCTGATTATTTAGGCCTCTATTTTACAGTACCCTTATAGACCCCTTATAGTAACCCTTTTAGGATGCCTTTAAAAGGAACCGTATTCTAATTATTAGGGCCTCTACATTACCGGGCAGTCTCAGGCGACAGCGTGCATCGCAAGCATTTAGCTCACCAACTCTTGGAGGATCATGGGACTTAGTAAGGTTCTTTCAAGGGCTCTCCTTGAAGGTATCTATAGGGTTCCGTAAAGGGATCTATAGGGTTTAGGGTTTAGGATCTACTTGGAGGATCATGAGACTTAGTAAGTAAGGTTATAAGTACCTTAATTGGGGTTAGAAGTATAGTTACCCTAATTATAGCCCCGGTTACTAAGTCCCATGATCCTTTAAGTACCCGCAACCTCATGCTTGTCACTAGGACATTCTTCATCTTCGTTTTCCCCACCAGTGTCACTCATAGCAATAGTAGCAGCAAAAGTAAGACCAGTAATGATAACACTGGTTTCACTAGTACGCCCTTGTAACAGTATCAAAAATGAACATACTTATCACAACAATAGTACCAGTGACCGTTCTTGCCGCAGCCGTTATGTCGTCCCCTGTCTTTGGTTCAGTCGTTGCCATCGCGAGGATTTGCACAGCCCCTACTCAGGAACCTAGTTACGGTTACTTAAAATTACATCTCCTAACACGAACCCTGCATGAGCCGTATAATGCCCATTTTCGAGTGGATAGAAGTTCAACAGCCATGAACGTCATGAACATCGTTGCAGCCAAGACAGCCGTCAATTGACCATTTCAGCAGTCCGTTGAAAATCTCAGAATCATCAGCGGAGTAACCAAGTTGTACATAGGTGTAGTGTAGCCGTGCTGATACTGTCAGGGTCGAAGCTTTTCCGCGGTGAAAATTGTATGTGCTAAACCCTCAACCCTACATTCTCTCGACGCTTCCAACCCTAAACAACAAATCCTCAAACCCAGAACCCAAAACCAGTTGCCATCCGACGTGCCCAAGCCTTGAATGCAAATTCAATGCTAGACTGTTATGTCTTTAAGTATACACTTACTAAAAATGGACATTATCATCTATCTGGCTGCGAGGTCGATTTCAATAATCCGAAGCCTAGACCCTTAGCCCTTAAACCCGAAACCCCAAAGCGCCTGAACCCCTAAGCCCTCATCCCCAGAAACCCCCGAACTTTCCTAGACGTCTCACCCTAAGCAGCTACATCTAAACTATCTTAAACCTGGGTACTGCCCCCACTCAGTAACAGTTGGTTAAGATTCATATAGTAGATATGTTAGGATCCTAATAGTGGCCCTAATATAGACTATTACTGTATGGGGGCAGTACCCAATCTTAAACTTCGTTGTAACTGCATCTCAGGCTCTCTGGCCGCTTCTGCTGGCCCAGGGTCCGGTACTTCTGAAGCTCGGCCGGGGGGTTCGACCTAACAGATATACCTGATTGTGTTTTTTTTTTTGGGGGGGGGCTTTGTTTTCAGCACAATATTTTGGTGAGGGTTCACATAAGGGATAGAACTGAAAGTCGAATTCTCTGAGGGGGCTGTATAATTTAAGCATCTTATTCTGGGGTCCTAGAACTTAAGGTATGTTATTTGGGGTCCTATAATTTATGGTATGCTGTTGGGGGATCCTTATCTTTTACCGGCGGTAAATTCCTTGACCTGAATTCTCAAACCCTCAACCCTAAGCCTACGCAAACAGAAGACAGCAAACACATCTGAGGCAGTTGGGACAGCTCTGGGCTGTACTGGTGGCACTCAGCGGGACAAGCGCGAACCTGGGTTTCGTTCAGTATATAAGCATTTAAGTTACCATACAGTAGTAAGGAATCTATGTTAATCGCGCTGGGTAGCTTGAGTTAAGTTTGCCAACCCTACGCCCCTACAAAACCCGTTAGGGAACCCCAAGTTAAGTCTGGAGACTTAGACTAGGTTCCAAGACAAGAGCCGCAAATCTTAAACTCTAAACTCCGTAAGCCCTCAGCAGGCCCTCAACCCCCATAAAGCCGCGCCGTTATGGAGCCCAAACCCTAAACCCTAAACCGACCCAAACCCAGGAGCATACCCCAAAAAGTCCCTTAAAAACAAAAAAAATAGCAAACCCTGAACACTGAACCCTAGACCCCTAGACCCAAACCCTAAACCCTGAACCCTTGTAGGATCTTTAAACTCCTGAGCACTAGCCCAGGAACGCCGAGAGCGACACTTCCGGATCGGGTCTCTGGGAACAGGAGATCGTTGGTGGCTTTTGGCGTTTAGGGTTCTGTTTTAGGGTTCAGGGTTTAAGGTTTAGGATTTGGAGGTTCAGGGTTTAGCTTTAGGTTTGCTTAAAGGGCTCTTTTGAGGTTTTCGTTTACAGGATTCTGTAACGGGGGGATCCGGAGTTTAGGTAGCAGTTCCTTTGCTATATACCGACTATGGTCCAACGTTCTGTGTTTTTGTTATTTAACGCGGTGGGTTTGGAGGGTTCCGCGTTCTTGGGAGTGTTCGTTGCGACTCCGGGGATTTAGAGAGTTTGAAGGTTTAGAGTTTAGAGTAAAATAGGGGCCTAGATAATTGTCAATCCTATTCCGTGGTTCCTTATACTATATTTATAGCACAATGTACCGCAAAGACCCTACTTCAAGTATTGAGGCCCCTTATCTGTTGCTTATTTCTTCGACTGGAGCATGCCGGCTAACCCCCAACATTCTGCCCCCAAAGAAGCCGAAAGACCAGCACCTCAGAATATACATGAATGAAACAGCCGCAACTACGGAACAACATGGTCGAGACTTACGCAACTCAACGCAGCTGTAAAGAGGGCACTAAACCCTAAACCCGAATAACGGCAGCACTAAGCTCTGAACCACTATCGAGAACCCCTAAACCCTAAACCCAAGCACTGTAGGACATTTTAGTGTTATAATAAAATTGACGTACCTCATATAATCGAAATTTCTGTCTCTTTTCAACATTTCCACAGCTGTAAAGGAGTATGTTCAGTGGCTGCAGCTGACGGCAAGCAGCCTGAGGGATGCTATCAGCCTCGATTGCGCTTATGGCAGGCCGTTGGATTTGGCGATCTCCAAAAATTAGGGGTACCTCATTTTGGGGTCCTTATCATAAGGATCCTACCATTTAGGGTATTATAATAGGGTCCCCTATTTTCGGAAACCCCCATTTGGGGTGGATGCTGTGGATCGGCAAATTTCTTGGGGTTTAGCGTTTTAGAGCTTATTATGAGGGTGTATTGCCTATAAAGTATCTAAGGAAAGTTTGCACTGCTACCTATGAACCTTGAACTCCCTTAAGCCGTAACCTCAGACCCCCAATCCCAAACGGTTTAGGGTTTAGGGTTTAGGGTTTAGGGTTTAGTCCCCACGCCCGACATCTTTAACCCAAAACCCTCGACCAATAGAGTGCTGTCCCGAGGGATCCAGCTACTTAAACAGTAGGTTACTAAGCACAGATGATCTAGGATGCCCAGTAGTACCCTTATTCCCTTTTTGTAGTCCTAGGTTCCTTATAAAGTTACCCAATATCAAAAAAGAGAGGCCTTTTTATTCTTAGGTTACTGGGTATCCTAGCATCATTTAGGCAACTGAAGCCTCGGGACTCTCCTGAGCCCCACAACATAACCTATATCGCCCCCCAGAAATGAGGGGTGCTTGCGGGTTAAGGCGGGTTTCGGGTTTAGGGTTGAGGGTTCAGTTTCAGGGTTTCGGGTTTGGGTTTAGGGAACTAACGTGCGCCCTGATTGTGCTTAAACTCTGCGACTTCGATCCGGACTTCTACCTGCTTCCCCGACCCGTCCGGATGCCATTTCCCTCTACAGGGAACTCCAGAAAGTTGGAATATGGATTCATGGTAGGATCCCATACAATTTACCTAACAGGGTTAGATAATGATATTCCAACTTTCTGCCTTCTACTGTAACCTTAAAACTCCAGCCTGGAAGGATGTCGAGCACGATTTGCGCTCTTGTCGCTCCCTGCGTGCTGCCGCTGCTGCTGATTCTGTGCATGCTTGCAGAAGCCATGCAGAGGGGGCGAGGTGGGACGGACAGGGTTTCATTTTCCTTCACAAGGCTTTGCGTTGGTGTGAATGGGACAGGGCTTTGGCACTGCCGCCGCAACATTTATCGAACGGGACTTTTGTGCTGCAGTGTTTTGTAGTTGTACTAGATCACACCCAGTATTGGGTCACCCAGTATTCCCTCTAAACACACTTTTCTGGGAACACGCGTCTCCTGACTTAAGCTGCATGTACCGGGAAGAGGGCAGCCTTGCTAGTACGGTTGACAGTGGGAGCCTAGTGCGATGTGGCTAGAAAGCAGCAAGAACGCAGGGAAATCGAACATTGGGGCCCAGCGGCTAGGAACGGCAGGGCTTGTAAAGGGTTTCTCCTAGAGATCAAGAGGCAGTAGGGGATGGTTCACACAGGGTTGTAGGAGGAGCTCCGTGGAAGGAAGCTAAGCGAGTGTAATGCTACTTGGAGGATCATGGGACTTAGTAAGTAAGGTTATAAGTACCATAATTGGGGTTATAAGTATAGTTACCCTAATTATAACCCTAGTTACTAAGGCCCATGATCCTTTAAGTATACTTTAAACCCCAACCTGGATCGCCAGCCCCAAACTTTTATTGCAAAGAGGGCCCCCCACAAAGCAGCAGACGGATCCGGTTTTGTCGGGTCTTGCTTAGACGGTGGAGGTCTCAAAGACAATGAGAAGCTTCCCCAGCCTAGACCTTAAGCCCTATACCTTAACCTGCCTTGTACCCTGAACCCTGTAAACACGTTAATCCCTGCAAGCGTTGTAAACCCTATGATTTATTATTATTACTACTACTATGACTGTGACTATTACTATTACTATTACTAGTACTATTACTATCGCTATCACTATCACAATTATACCATCACTACTACTATGAACCGCCCAACCCTATGTCCCCAACCCCTAGACGGCCATAAACACCAACCCCCAAGGTGTGAATTTTGAATTGCCCCCTACAAGCCTGCCCCTTGTAAACCCTACGAACCGCCCTAAAACCTTAAACCCTAAACTCCCAAACCCCCGAGGTGTGAAGCTTGCTTTGCCGGCTCTGTCGCTGCTCTTCATCGGTGGCGCCTCCAGCTGGGCGAAGCTGATTCACTGCCAGCGGGTGGATGGAGGCAAAGATGGATCTTTCCATCTGGTTTAGGGTTTAGGGTTCTAAGTTTCTCTGTTTACCTGTTATATATCTAACTATTATCTACCTATCTAGCTGAATCTATCTGTTTGTCTCTGTACGTATACATTAGTAGATGTGCACAGCTAGAAATATGTGCATATGTACATTCGTATTCGTATGAATGTTAGTGTTAATTCCAACATTATATAAACAAGGTTATCAGTGTTCGCAGGAGATTTTACATTGTTACTGTAAGTATTCGTATTAGTTTTAGTAATAGTAGTACGCACATTCACATTAGCCTGAGTATCAGTGTGAAGATTCGTAGTAATAGTAGTATTCGAAGACGATGAGCATTAATGTAAGTCTTGAGAATAGTTAATAAGAAAGAGTATTAGTATCCGCAGGAGTATAAATTCCTACATATCAGCTTTAGTTGTAAACTAATAAATGAATATGAAGTATTCATATTCGTAGGAACATCAATATTCATAGTACTATGATTATTCCTATTAATGCTAGTATGTATACACATATTACTATGAATATTGTGTGGCCTGAGCTCGAGACAGCAGCTTGGAAGCTATGGCTAGTTTAGAAGCCTGAAACATTAGGACCTGCATGGCTTTGGGACTGGAAAATCGCAATGTTTTAGTTAAGATGGGCGCGAAACATTGGGACGTGTCATGGTCTTGAGCCTTTGGGCTTGCAGAAATAGTGCTGAGAGATCCCAATGTCTTGGTGTGTGGGATACCAAAGCATTGGGACCTCTCATGGTTTGAGGACTCTGGCGTGCGAAAGTGCTGAGAGGTTCCAATGTTTTGGCGCATGGGAGCTCAAAACATTGGGACCTCTCTAGGTTTTAGAACTCTGGAGTGGGAAAGTGCTGAAAGGTCTCAATGTTTTGACGGTTTAGGAAGCCAAACAACACGGAAGGTCCCAATAAAACCAATGGCTGGGAGTCTCCAAGAAAATGCCCCCCCCCCCCCCCCCCCCCCCCCCCCCCCCCCCCCCCCCCCCCCCCCCCCCCACCCGCCCCCACACCACAAACTCAGGTGTTATTGGCTTTATTGGTACTTTACAGGGTTGGTTTTAGGCTCCTACAGCCTCAAAGCATTGGGACCTCTCATGGTTTTGAGCTTCCTGGCCTGCGAAAGTGCTGAGAGGTCCCATTGTTTCGAATCCAAAGCTTCGGGCTCCTGGTTTTGGGACTGTGTGGGAGATTAGGTACGGCCCCCACTCAGTAACAGTTGAATAATATCAAGGGTTTCCCTACGCATGCTGCCTCGCACTGCGTGCTCCAAAGATTTTTGCGTGCTGCCTCTGTAGCGCACAAAACGCTGAGGTGGGATGCAGTATCTTTAGATAAGGCCCAAACTTCCCTAAACCACAAAATCACGAAGCATTCGTCAAAAAAGTGCGTGCTGCCTCGTTTTGAAAAAATGCGTGCTGCCTCAACTTCTCCTTGGACCGGGAGGTGGAATGCAACAATCTTTGCAGCACGAAAGTCGAGGGAGCATGCGTAGGGAAACCCTTGATAATATTCATGATATATTAATAGTAGCCCTATTTTAGACTCTTACTGTATGGGGGCCGCACCCAAGTGGGAGAACACAATCTCGCGGTTTTGGGAATGTGACGGAGAGCACGAATGACAAGTAGGACTGTGCTGAGGTCCGTACCTGATCAGGAACACAGGAAAAGGTTAGGTACGGGGGGGGCACCATGTATAGCTAATACTGTACTACACTATACCTTACTATAATACTAGACTATACTGTACTGTAACATATTACAATAAATCACTATGTAATACGATATGATGGAAATTAGCCTCAACATAACACAGGCTATGGTGTGCAATGTTGTACTGTATCATCGTAAAACATAGTATGATATGTTATGAAATAACATGACATATTAGTACCAAAGCATACAACATGTTATACTGTAACACAATTTGTGACAGTATAATATAACTTTATCAAGGTAATATAATATAATACACTAGTACAAGATTATTAGAATACTACAATATACTGTACCAGAATATACTGTTTGCGTCTAGTATAACACAGTATATAGTATACTATACTATACTGATAAGAAGGGAGGTGTAGGAATTGGGGCCTTAACTGCCGAGCATGTTGCTTGCGCAGACGGAACATCTCTGCCGGAAGCTGATGCCTTCAAGTCACAGCTGCTCGGTCAACAAGCAAAGTGCTCTTAGCTGTGGAGGTGCGCGGGTTTAGGCTTTCATTATTCTAGTGTTGTGGGTGTGGGGCTGGAGGAGAGGTTGTAAGTTGTGATCGTAGGGGGAAGGTGATGGCCCGAAATCCCGGCGCACTATGCCCCTACAGGAGGAAATGGCCCACGCAAATCCAAACCCCCGGCCCTAAACCCAAAACCCTGAACTCTAAGACCGAAACCCCAAACCTCAGGACCGAAACCCCAAACCTTATAGACCCTTAGCTCAAGACACCTTGAGCCGTTCGCCCGTCAAGTTAGGGCTTAGGGTGCAGGGATGAGTTCTTTCAAAGGCCTATGCCAGTCTCGTCAACCAAGGTTGCCCCATCTGACCTGCTCAGAGACAAGTGGTGAAGCTGTTTGGGTCGGGTCCCCCAGACAGACGGCAAAGCGTCTTTCCTAGGATGGACGGGTTCAGGGCAGACGTGTCAGGGACTGCTTGCTTAGAGAGCGGGCATTCGGCTCGATAGGGCACAGTGTGTAGGAGTTTGAGAGCCCAGATATTCTAAAGCCGTTTAACTCCGGACTGTACCCGAAATCAAACTAAGAATCCCTGTGCTTGCTTAGTTAGACTCCGTAAGGCAGGAGTATACCTCAACATGATTATTTTTGCTATAGTCCTCAGGAACTTACATTCCATCACATTAAGAATCCCTCCATACTGGATGCGAGTACTGTTATTCCCTGCTGGTCTATATAGTTGCACGATAGTAGACCCCAAAGCCTTTATCAAGAAGTCTACATTAGAATGTTGCCGGATGGCGGCATTGGGTTCAGGCCCCAAATGGAGGTTTCCGAGGTGCGGATTCAGGGTCTCGGGTTTAGGGTTGCTTGGTCGAGGGCTTAGGGTGTTGGTTTGACAGGCTGAACTCTTCATGCATGCATGGATCCCCGCACACGTAGACCCGCAGCACTGGAGCCTGCAATAAGTACGAACTCCACATTCTGGCTACAGTTTCGGGTCTAAGAGTTCAGGGTTTAGGGTTTAGGGTTTAGGGTTCCGGGGTTTTGAGTGAGTTTGGGATTAGGGTTGTAAGGGTTTGCAAGGTTTCTGGTGGCCATGAACCCAGACGCTGCACCTTTAGATGCAGGAACCCGAACAACTGCTAAAGGGTCTGTGTACCTGCATGGAACATACATGTCAATACTTCAGCCTTCAACGATTTCATATAAAATAGATTTTTCTAATCACTTCAATCATCGGTATATGTGCACTTAGGCAAGACCCCCGACTCGGCTTGGCTCAGGCATATGCAGTCGGGGTGGGATGTGCTGTCGCCTATGGCATCCTGATCCCAGCGTTCCTGTTATACTTGATCCTGAAGCAGCACTTGCTCCTTTCACCGAGCAGGCCGGTGGCTCTGTTGTTGTTGTTGTTGTTGTTGCTGTTGTTGTTGTTGTTGTTGTTAGGGGCTAGAGGCCTGGCGGGGGTTAAGGCTTTAGGTCGCAATTCGTGCCTCTATAAGCCCTAAAACTAGAGGATGTGGGGGATGAGCTACTTGGAGGATCATGGGACTTAGTAAGTAAGGTTATAAGTACCTTAATTGCGTTTATAAGTATAGTTACCCTAATCATAACCCTAGTTAAGTCCCATGATCCTTTAAGTACACGTCTGAAGTTGGTGTAATCAGTTTCTTCGAATCCCACACGCTCACAGAGTGCCCATCCGCTCTTTAGCCCTCCATCAGCATAATTGTCTTGAGCCCGCCACCGCCGGCAAAAAGGCTACATAGTACGCGGAGGCAATGCCAATGCATCCGTTTGAGGCGCTATGTGTCGTTTGCAGATCGTCAAGGAGACAAGACGATCGTGCAAGTCGTTGCAATGGGTCCTCAGGCAGATGAAGCGGATGCAGGTGCAAGTGAGAAGGAGCCAGAAACAGTAAATTTCGAGTGCGGGCTTTTATGGTATCTCTGTGTACTTATGTACCTCTACTGGGCTATACCCCAAAACCTGTTCGAACTACTAAGGCCCCCCCGCCCGACCAACAGCCCTATTCAATATTCTAGCTGCGACGACCCAGCAAAGCCTTGACTTGGACCCATCAGACCCTATCATACACTTCTCCAGTTTTCAGTCCGAGATCTTGCCGATTTTTTGGGTGGTTTACCCTAAACCCTGAACCCTAAAACCCTAAACCATCCAGGTTTTGGGCTGACGATCCAAGCCCCAAATTCTAAAGAGTTCAGCGGTTTATGGTGGCAGATACCACCAGGACTTGCTGGAGAAACGGGGGCGATCGCACTTCTTGGCATCTGCTGTGGCCTACAGCGCTGTCTTCTTCCATGGGTCCATTAGCCTTCAGCGGGAGGATTCAGCATTGCATCCTGGCTGAAGCCCGAGACACCACACAGCGTAATCCTTCGATTCTAACTTGAACCCTCAGAACTCAGCCCTAAGCCCCAAACACTGAACCCTCACTGAACGCTGTAAGCCCCAAAATCCCCAGCCCCAAACCCAAAAGCACTTAAACCCTCATGGGAGCCGTTAAAGGGAAGCAGCACTCCACGAAAACGGTGTAAGGCCCCCAAACCCAGGACCATCCGTGCGGCAAATGGTGTCCACGGCGAGAAAGAAGATGAGTTCGACGTCCTCTCGCCGAATAGTCATACGGTTGATGATATAAACCCTGCAAATCCATTATCAGGAGTATACTGTATTTCCGATAGTTTAGGGTCATGAAGGTAATGCAAGATTTATATCATCAACCAGAGTAAGGTTCGATTCGAGGTTGCAGCGATGGCTTCTACAAGGGTGTCCTGCTGGTTTAGGGGTACAGGGCTTAGGGTAGGAGCCATATATCTTTTGTAGACTCCATTGTAGACGACTTAATCGAATCCAGGTATCGTAAGTGCTGAGAGTATCCTTTGTGATACGATGAGACCCACCAAACGACGCCTTGATGACATTTTCCCCAAACGTACCGCAAGTTTTCAAGAATATGGACTGGAAGAGCTCTACTCAGTGCTGTTGCCGGCTCTCAGAGGTTTCGGGGTTTGGGTCGCCCCTTTCACGGTGGCTAATTGCGGAAAAAGCGCCGTAGTCATCATCACACCGCATTCGCGTCCATGGGAACCACTGTAGCCTATAATGGCTGCGCAGTGAGGGGCGCTTCTGAATGCAGCTGCAAGGCGCTGCCCTTCTGTCTTGATACAAACACTACCTACTGCAGAGGTAGCCTGCTTGGTTGCTTGTTGGTCCGGAACCCAGAACCCCTTAAACCCTACCCTAAACCCTAAACCCTAAACCCTAAACCCTAAACCCTAAACCCTCAACCCAGCTAGACACAATGCCCTAGAGACCCTAAACCCCCAACGCCTCAAACCCTAACCAAAACCTGTAAACCCCTAAACCCATCGCGACCCAGGTGCCCCAAAATCCCTAACCCCCCCAGCACCTCAACCCTAAATCCCACTATAAGCCCTGCTAGAACCGGTTTTGGTTTTAGGGTTTAGTGTTTCGGGGAACCACCAGGGAATCGCTGAAGTAATGCAAGACCCTACTTCCCAAACCCCTCAACCCTAAGCCCCAAAGCTTAAAGCCCTGCTTTTGGGATCTTAGAATCCTGAGTGTGCGGTTTAGGGAATATGATGCCTCCTTTCTAGGGTTCCGCCCTGTTACATGGTGTGTTATTTCTAATGCGGCAGTTACAGAAGATTTTCAGACGTCCCTATTGTAGGAACCTGATTGAGAAGCCCCGGGCCCTATAACCCTCAATATCTTAGGATTCATATAAGGAACCCTAATAAGGACCCAGCGTTTCTTAATCAGGTTCCTGCATTGTTATAGTACCCTTATATAGATCCCGTATAGTAACCCTTATAGACCCCTTTACAGACACCCTGAAGCCACGGCGAGGTCACCACCGCTGTAGCTCACGTCTTGGAGCACAAGGATGACGCAGATCTCATGCGCTGGCAGGCGATATCAAGGCGGCTACCCCTACGGGTTTCCGAGGGTTCCTTTAAAGGGGTCTATAAGGGTTACTATAAGGGATACTATGGGGGTACTATAATATAGGGGTCTTGATAATTACCAATACTACTTTGGGGATTCCTTAGCATAATTGTAGTATAATGGGCCCCACAACCCTATTCATGAAGGCCCCTATATTGTCCCTACACGGATGCAATCCATATAAAGCCACGCTACATGGATGAACCCCATGTGCGTAGCGCACGTCAACAACTGATGAATTTCATGTACAAGAAGCCCGTCAGAGGATGCTGACGGAGCGCTGCATCTTGGAAGAAGCGCAAACAGCGGATCGAGCCTTGCCGCCAAAAGGCTGTCTTCTCTAAGGGTTTAGGGATTTTTGGTTTGGGGTTTAGGGTTTAGGGTCGTTTAGGGTTGCCCGTACCTATAGTCTCCGCTGTAGATCGTTTTTTGGTTTAACCTATTTTGATATTTTGGATCTTATGAAACACAATGGAGACATGTGGAGACTACAGGTGGAAGAGATAAGGAGGTACCAAGGCTAGTAGACTTCAGAGCGCCCCTCGATGAACCTTGCAGCAGAGGTTTTCCAAAGCGTGGCGTCGTTTGGGGTTTCGGGTTTGGTATCTCTCCCTTGCCAACACTAGGATGCCCAGTAGTACCCTTATTCCCTTTTTGTAGTCCTAGGTTCCTTATAAAGTTACCCAATACCAAAAAGAGAGGCCTTTCTATTCTTAGGTTACTGGGTATCCTAGAACGAGATTTTCTGTTCGTAGTGCTGGAGAGTTTGGAATGTAGGACTCTACATGAACGAAAGGGCTGATAGCCTTCGGATTTAGGAATCCCAAACCCGACACCCTCAACCCTATCTAGACCCTCCCTTAAGAGTCCTAAACCCTAAACCCTTAAGCCTTTTAATTTAACACTAACCTAAAGCCTATAAACCCTGACTTATCCAGAACCCTCCAGCTACACTTTGAGAAGAACCTGCCAATCCTGTCGAGGATGCCTTTCAGGTTTCCTTGTGGGGTTAGGGATTCCGGCCCCAGGAATCTTTGCTGGGGCGAACGAGATCTTCTTCAAGTACGCACCCTGGCTGTGTTGGTAAGCCGCATTTAGAACATAGGGTTTGAACACCTGCAATGTTTTCCCTAGTGGCCCTAGGGTTCATGACACAGTATGCCCCCAAATCTACACGCACAAACCCCAGTGCATGCATGCATGCCTGCATTCAGCTTGATGTTTGGCAGGCAGCGTGCGAACAGGTATGGGTCGAAGTTGCACTGAAGACGGTGGCTGTCGCCCTGGTGGCGGCATTCTGGCAGCATTCAGTTTGGCCAGTTTGCTGTGTATGAATGTGTATGTATATACATATATACATACAAACATACTTGCTCTATGTGTGTATCTGTGTGTGTATTTACATTATATTTATATACATACACATATATTGTACATATACATATGTGTGTATGCCGCAAAATCACTACTCATCGCTTTTAGTAGATTATGACCTGTTGCTGTTGCCTGCTGCTGCTGTTGCTGTCACTGTCACTGGCACTCGCCCTGGCGCTGGCGCTGGTACTGGCACTACTACTACTGCTGCTACCTACGACTGTAGCTATTGCCTAATACCTACTACCCCTTACCTAGTACCTTGCACCTAGTACCTATTACTAGTACAGCTAATTACTATTACTATGGCCATACCTATCACTGTTACTGTTTCTAGTGCGAATATTACTCTTCCTGTTACCATTACTAATACGGTGACGGTGACCGTTGTTCTCTAATTGTTCAAATCTCACTTGTAGCTATCCATGAACCTCCAAACACCCTTGATTAAGGAATATACCTGAATTTATAGTAGGGTCTCTAATGTAATTTAAGGCATATTCATAAATTATAGTGGTAGGACCCTTGATTTAAGGTATATTCCTTAATTCAGGGATATTGGCAGGTCCCGGTACCCGTGAACCTCCAAGTACCGAGGCTGCATCCACCTACCAAAACGTGTTCATGACGGTGGGGCTGACTCTGGGAACTGCGACCTTGGACGGCGCTGTGGGAAACGTTGTGTTCTAGGGTCTAGGTTTAGGGCTTTAGAGTTTAGTTTTGTTGCTTTTCGGGTGTCATTGTGGGGTTTCAGGGTTTTGTGAAGCTCTTTGGCATGGATCTAAACCGGGCCTAGAATTTCGGGATTTGGGAAACTTGTTGGTTTACGGCCTTAGTGTTTGATTATGGGTTTCAGGGTTTTGGGAAACTGGTGCATTTCCCTTACGATCCCATGGAAACTCTTTCATTTCCGTGGTCACATAGAATAGAGATGCTCTTTTTGAATACTATAGGGGATTACAGTACCAATCACCCCCCTAAGAGTCCTTGTTCAATTATGGTACACTGTAACCAAAACCCTTGTCAGTCTACATAATTATGAAGGCCCTAAACCCTATAAGCCCTAAACCGTGATCATTAAGCCACCTATGTTGCTCAGAACCGTCTTTTTGACGTTGCAGCCCTACAGACAGCGGCAGGTGGGGGACTCCTGGTGGGTTTAGGGGTTCAAGGGTTTTTTGTGTTTACAAGGATTGAATAGAGGTCAGAGGATCATTGGGTACGAATTAGATTGAGGCTTTCGCAGGGGGGTGGGGCAGCGCGGGTGGGAGAGGCGGTTTTTGAGGTTTAGGTTTCCGAATTTGGGGCTGTACGGCTTTAGGCGTGCGTGGTTGAGGATAAAAAGTCTAGTCTTGGGTTTCGCCCAAATCTAGCAAACAAGACACTAAGTTCGGGCTTTGGGTTCAGGGCTGCCCGGGTTTTGTCGGATCCTTGAACTACGAGCCCCCACAGCGAGAAAATATTTGCTTTTAGATCCCAAATCTTCAGAACACCAATCTGTAATACCCCACGACAACCCTATCAAACCCTGATCACCCTGACAAAAGGCCTCCGAACAACCATGACACCCCACACAAGGCTTGAAGCCTAAACACACTCATCCTTAACCCTTACTGAAACCCCCCTTCCCAACTCTCAGAGGTGAACGACCTGCAGTGCTGTTGCTTCTTGTGCAGCTTGGCGATCCGAGATTGAAAGTTCTGGGTGCATAGGTATCTGTAGGATTCTCTCGGTGCTTACGAGGCTTTACAGGAGGGAATGTTCGAGCGCCCTGGTGTGCCACCAACCGCCAATTCCTAAATGCGGGCTTGACCCTGACTCTAAACCCTCTAAACCCTAGACCCTATAAGCCCTAAACCTCCAAACACTATGCTCTTAAACCCTAAACCCCCAGACCCTAAGCCCTAAACCAGTTCCCAGAGGCCTTACCGTTGCCGCCACGGGCTTCGCTTGCTCCTTCAAATGGCTCTCGCGCGCTTCCCTGGCTGTGCTCCTTTGCGGCTCCAGTCCACTATAGGGGGTTAGGGGTTTGGGGGCCACAATAAGCAGAATAACTAGAGTGTTGGGGGTATAATGTACGGTAATTATGGTAAGGAGCTTTATGAGACATAGGACTAGTAGCTATTCTGGCTTCTGAACAAATGATCGGGTTTAGTGTTTCCGAGACCACCACACTCCTCTCTACGAAATCTCAAGCAGCAACCCACGATTCTCGACTACAACCCTAAATGCGACCCTAAACCCTGAACCCTAAGCAACTACTCTATTCAGGGAGTTTGGGGATCGCGTGGTCTGACACCCTTCCTTTCCCCGTACTCCAAAGCCACTTACTTCAAAAGGCACACAATTTCCTGAAATCGTAAGGTTGATCCGCTACAGTTTACTGTAAGGTATCTTCCTGCTTTTTAATTAAACTCTGAGTGCAACCCCCCTCCCCCTCACCCCCGGCAGCCCCCGTAAAGAGCCGCGGCAAGAACTCGGCCGAATCTTTATGAACCCCCTATGAGGCCCTTTTGACTCCAACGCCTAAATGAACAGAATAGTACGCCATGGAATGAAGTCTTTTTATAAGGCGCTTATGAAATCCATATAGCACCTTCAAAAAACCTCTTAGCCTAAGGCTTCATGTGCCCAGAGAGTGTATAATATGCTTAGGTCTCAAAGTACCTATATATAGGAAACCCAAGGAGGCGTCAGTACGTATTGTATGGGTGCATGGAACCTACCAAACCCTAAAAGTAGACCCGAAAACAAGTCCCTATAGAACTCTTACAGGAATCCTGAAAGGAAGCCTTCAAGGAATCCCTTAAAGGAATCCTTCAAGGAACCCTGAAAGCAACTTGTTATATAATCTCCATACTTCCCAAAGTAATCGTTGAGGCCCCTTCTCCTGGCAGCCGTGCAGACGCTGCGCCCAGGTGCAGAGACCGAGATGCAAAGGGTCATAGGGATTAGGGTGTAGGGGTTGAGGGGTTCAGGGGTTTAGAGTTTTGGATCTTTAGGGTTTAGGGGTTTAGGGGTTTCGGGGTTTCGGGGTTTAGGGGTTTAGGGTTGAGGGAGATACCCACATCGGGGTTACTACTGTAACCCTGAGCAGAATATCGTTATGGAAACCCCACCGGCTACCATGTAGATTCTTAGGACGCTGTGGGAGGTGGCAATGACTCATGAGAAAATACAGTTGAATTCACGAATTACCTACATAGGGGCCTCAGTAGTTCGGATTACCGTAAGGTTTGGAGACCCCGCATAACGTGCTGTTATGCGGGGTCTTTGTTCTACATTATACCTAGTTATTCATACATATGTGTATACATATATACACATACACATAACCAAAGGTTCCAGGGTGGAACAGGTGCAAGCTCCTCAAGTCGTAGAAGCAAGGTGCATGCCAGTGTTTCAGGGTCTAATTTAGGGATGCTGGTAAGCTTTGTTTTGTAGTTGTTCGGCTTCTTCAACTCTTGAACCATGTCCATACTTCGGAAACAGGGTTTACCTTAGCAGCTGCCCCCACCCTGTAATAGTGACCACAAGGATTATGTAGGATTATATTAGGGCCCTATTATACTCCTATTATACCACTATTACAGGGTGGGGGCAGCTCCTAAGGTTTACCGATTTCTTTCCAAATTTTGAGATCACCGTGGATCCTGCAGTGCTCACACGGCGGGACAAGGATGAGGATCGTGGCGAGGAGCTGGTGGAGCTTTTCCGGGCACCAGGCAATCTGCAACACAGGCCTGCTCCGAAGGGCCCACTTGGAGCATCATGGGACTTAGTAAGGTTCCTTAAAGGGCTCCTTAAAGAGATCTATAGGGTTTAGGGTTTAGGGTCTACTTGGGAGGATCATGGGACTTAGTAAGTAAGGTTATAAGTACCGTAATTGGGGCTAAAAGTATAGTTACCCTAATTGTAACCTTATAGTTACTAAGTCCCATGATCCTTTAAGCAGAGCCCTCCACGAAGACCGGCCGATGGTGGATTCCTCAGGCTACACGCTGCTGGGCGACGGCCTGTCCACCGTTTGTGCGCTGCAGCGGCTGCGCAAAGAGTGGGAGACTGCGAAAGGAGACGACCGTGGCACTATGGGATGTTTCTTAAGCCCCCCTGATCTCATAGAGGCATGGGACCTTGAAGCACAGCCCATTGCAGATTATGGAAGTTCGGGTAATACTTGATCACTTGTCCAGCGTAGGGTTCTGTTTGAATGTTGGTGAGTTACTTAGATACCCTGAAATCCTGAACCCTAAAACCTAGACTGTAAACTTGTTTAGGTTTGGGCACCCTAAACTCTCTAAACCGGAACCCCTCTTTGTGGATGTGGTTCAGTTTCACTGAGTTGAGGGCAAAACTGCCAGCGCTTTTGGAAAAATGGTGCATATCAACATCAAAAAACCCTAAACCCTCTGAGCCCTAAACCCCTCTAAACCCTCCAGTCTAAATCCCCCAAACCGCAAATCCGAAACCCTAAACCCCCCGAACCCAAAGTGCTGCCCGCGCAGATGGACCAGAAGCACTCGCTCTTCGCCTCTTTGAGGCCTCGAAAGCTTCCGTGGACATCGGGGGTTTAGGGTTTAGGTTTTTGGGTTTTGAGGGTTTTGGGTTTAGGGCAAGGGTTCGGGGGAGTCCCTTTTGGGGCTTTGGGGTTTAGGGTGTAGAATTTAGATCTATATAGAGTTTAGAGTCTAGAGTTTAATGGTTTGAGGGTTTAGGGCTCCTTAAAAGGGATCTATAAGGGTTCGATAAGAGGGGTCTTAGGGTTACTTGAAGGTTCATGGGACTTAGTAACTAGGGTATATTAAAGCTAAGTATACGTATGACCCCAGTTATTGGACTTATAACCTTATTTACTAAGTCCCATGATCCTCCAAGTAGGGTTCAGGGTTTTGAGGGGTTTGCAAGGGTTCGGCAACGGGTCAAACTAGATTGTTCGCTTTTGGTTTCTAGACTGTTTTAGAGTTTAGGATTTAGGGTTTTCGGGTTTAGGGATGTTGGGTTCGACCCAGTGAGAGCCGCCGCAAGATTCGAAAGCTTTGTTTTGCCGACTTACTCATCCATTCAGTAGCGTTGGCAAATTCAGGTTTAGGAGTTTAGGGTTTAGGGTATAGTTCGATATGGAGATCTGAAACCTAATTGCACGCAACATACCGTGCTATACCCGCCAAACCCTATTGAAATTATTGAGATCGCGATTTTGGCCCAAGGCAAAAGCATGAAACGAACCGTGTTCCACAAATGTGGGTTTGGCCAACCTTAACTGCTAGGTGGAAAAAAGGTGCTACCCTGAACCCTGAAACTTTCAAGTGAACTTTAAGCCTTGAGGCCCATCAAGGCTGTGGAATACAAGTTTGATCCCCGTACAAAGCCCATGCACCACTTCAGGAAACCATGACGAAAACACCAGAGCCTAAAATCTGGAGACTTGAGGCTGCAACCCGACAGTGGCCGGCCTTGCAAAAGGGTGAGGTGATACAGCTCCTCGGCGTTTCAGCGGTGAGTGTGTTTTCCTGTCTTGTGTCCTTTGGGTACCTACTGTCCTACAGTTACCAAAAACCTTAAACTTCAAACCCTAAACCTTGATACCCGAGACCCCTAAAAAAGCATAAAGCCCTAATCCCTCAACCCTCGTGCAGCTATCCTAAACCCCCAACCCCAACCCCAACCCCCCCCTCACCAAACAAGCATGGTTTTTCTACTTTGCTGACCACTGCAGATCTGAGGCTCTCCGTGACGACCGTGAGCTTTCTATAGTTCCTCGCCGGCGACCCAAAGCACTCAAAGCCTTACCTTACCCCTGAAAAGCCTACCCTTTTTAGGGTTCCCTGTATAAGTCCTTTAAAAAGATAGGTGTTTTTTTGGTGTTCAGGTATGATCTTATAAACCCTAAACACATAAGCACCCTAAACACCCTAAGCCCTGGACTTCAGCACTAAACCTTGAAACACTAAACACCAAAAACTCGCGAAGCTTTTGGAGGTTGAGGACTTTCGAGTTCTAGGAACGGGATAGAGTCCTGAAGCTCAACCTACTTAAAGGATCCTTAAAGGGCTCCTTAAAAAGGATCTAATCTATGTAAGGGCTCTAGAAGAGGGAATTTAGGGTTACTCAAAGGATCATGGGATTTAGTAACTAGAGTTATAATTAGGGTAGCTATACTTATAGCCCCAATTAAGGCACTTATAACTTATAACCTTACCAACAAAGTCCCATGATCCTCCAAGTAGGAAGCTCTTGACTTCCCTCTACAGACCTCCCCTAGGACCCAAATAGAAAGCGAAGCCCTAAATGCAGAACCCTTGTGGGAACCCTTAAAGGAAGGCCCTCCCCTGCCAGGGACTGAAACTCTGGAGGTTATGCAGGTTTTGGTTTAGGGTTTCGGGCTGGCGGATTAGGGACACTTCATATTGTGAGGGTTTTGGGGTTTGGGGCTTTAGGTTTTGGGGTTGGTGCTTGCAGTGGAGCCGTTGGTGCGCGAGTAGGCTGCGGCAACACACTTAGGTATAGGCGAAACAGGTGTCACGGCACTTTTGAACTTATGAGAGGGTTATCTACAGCTCCTATTCAGACTTCTACGGTCTGTCCGCGCATCCCTGAAGCCTCCATCCTGACCCCTCAACCTCACCTTGAAGCCCCGTAGCCCACTCTGCACCCCCCCCAAACTGTCAATCCTAAGTCCGAACCCCGCCCCCAGACCCTTCCCCTGCACCGAAGAACCGGCCAATGGTACGCCAAGGGTAGTGGCATGAAAGTCTGTGAACTTGTCTGATGGCCTGGCATCCAAACAGCTTCGGTTTGACTTGAGTAGGGGAGTGTAATTAGTTGGGCACAATTACGTGCATGAAGACACATACATACATACATACATACATACATACATACAGACACACACATGTGTGTGTGTGTGTCTACATATGCGCACGAATGCTGCGATCCTGCAGATGTTCAGGGCTTACCAGTTTACCACCAAAGGATTCTTGTACAAATATCTAAGCTGAAAGCAGATAGTATATGTGGAGACATGTCTGTCTGTCCGTCCATCCGTCCGTCCGTTCGCTTGTCTGTGTCGTGTACGCATGTCTGTACGCATGCACTGTATGTCTGACGGTACGCGTGTGTGCAAACTATGTATACATACGTGGAGGCATGGGATTGCAAAGCGTAGCGCATGTTCTAGCTGATGCATGCTGTTGTTGTGGCATCAGCGGCGGTTAGCAAATCAGCACGACATGATAGTAGAGCTCTACTAGTAGCACACGTGAATGTTTCTCGTGCGAACGCACATACCTGTTTTTGGCACAAGATCTACAGCTTGGGCTGAACATGTCAGACCGTCCCCGCTTGAACTGCGAAGCTCTTCTTCAGAAGAGCAACCGGTGTCGGAAAAAGGGGCACGCCAGCTGCTTTGTCTCAGAGAACTAACTAAGTCGTTTCAGCGACTTCTGCCCAAGTAAGTTCTAAGCTGCAGTGTTGCTGAGGGCCCTTTGTGCACGACGAAGACGTGGTGCGTATGTCGTACTTCTAATGGGTAGAGGCTGAAGCATCCCCAATACCGTTCGTTCGGGTTCCTTGATCTAAGTATAGCAAGATATATTCCAAAGATCCCTAAACCTTATTCAAAAGTTTAAGCCCTCCGGATCCCGGCGAGTCCATGTACGAATATAGTATCTACTTGCCTTTACAGGGACTTATTTAAGGCCAAAGTATCTACTATATGAGTTCCTTACATGTCCTTACCTAATATGACGATGCTTAAATAAGTTATTACACCCAGTAGGCCTGAGTTCTGAAAAAAGCCTTGTCCTGCCAAGCTTTCGGCTCTTTATGAAGCCCTTTCAGCATCTTTTGATCCCAAAGCCTTCAGCCTTTTTCCCCTGTATTGTCTTCGAGTCTCTGTCCCCGCAACCCGAAACCCTAAACCATACCGTCAGCCCTCAACCCCAAACCCTAAACATTACCCCCCAAACCCTCAACCCTCAATCCTAAACCCTCAACCTTAAACCCCAAACCCTCAACACGAAACCTCCAAACCCTGAACGCTAAACTTTAAACCCTCAACCCTGAAGCCTCATGCGTTTCGGGGAGTTCAGTTCAAGCCATAGGCAAGGTCTTCAGGCTACGGATTGAACATTGACTTCAAGGTTGCGTGCATTTAGGATGTAGGATTCAGTATAAAGGGCTTAGGTTTGATGATTTCCGGTGCGGTCGGTTTGCTGTTCTACATTGTAGATAGGGGCAGTGTAGCATATGTTGAACATTGGGCAATGCCACATGCTCAAGACCAAGCCGTAAACCACATAAATCTCAACTACGAACCCGAAGCACCGTAAGCTGCCCGTAAACGACCTTGACTGCGTGCAAATTGGTATATTGCGTCGAGGTTCTCTTTTTAGTTTAGGGTTGAAAGTTTCCGGCGCGGGGCTTGGTATCAGAATGTCGCAGATGAGACTGGTTTTGCAATCCTCGAAGATAAGACAGAGGCTTCCGGAGAGGCATCCGCGCAGAAACACCATTGTCGAACAAACCTATGAGGTTTAATGTAGAAAGTGGGAGCATCCCCTTATATCGTGGTACAATGGTACTACCATAAGGGCCTTAATACTTACCTATACTCTTATTAAGGCCCTTATATTGCTTGTATGATTACACCGAATTCTGATAAGGCTTCCCTTGTGTGTCCCCGGAGCCCGACCTTGAAAGGGTTCCTTTAAGGGCTCCTTTAAGGGTTCTATAAGGGTTTTGGGTATAAGGGTCCATGTGCCCAATTAGTTTATACTGTGGCCGTAAAGAATTCCCTATATAGGCATGCCGGGCCCAGAGTATGCACTAGTTGAGCACATGGACCCTCAAGGAAAAGCCTCTTGAAGACTATGAACCTGGTGCAGGAACTCAGTCTTCTCTATGACGACTTCCCCGTGCGTTCCGGCAAGGACGTGGCAGGGTTCGGGTATATCTTGGGTTTTGAGTGGCGTGTCTATCTGTCTGGGTAGCTGGCCGCATGGAATGCGAGGAAGCGGAGGAGCCGGCGGAGACTTTGCAGGCGGCGCAAACTCTATCATCCGCTTCCCGAACTAAAAACAAATCATCACTCGCAGCTCTAAAGACAAGTCGGTGTAGCGTGTCGGAACTAGCTATGGGTTTAGGACTCTATGTTCAGAGTTCTGGCCTTTGATGACTTCCGCACTCGGATCGGAAGCCCCCAAGCTCCAAACTGTAAGTCTTGAGGGTGAACCCCAAACTTGAGACTTTAAACCCTAAACCGAACCCGTAGCCCTGCGCCCCACTTGGCTTGTAAACCCTGAACCTCGAAACTTTCCGGTGGGCGTGTGTGAAGTGTGGAGGCTGCTGCGGCGCCCGCCCCTCCTCCAGTGAAGGAGGAGGAGGCCCAGACGTAACTCGGCAGGGTGTGAGGGCTTAAGGCTTTGGGGTTTAAGGGTTTAGGGGTTGCGGCTTTAGGACTTGAGGGTTTTCGTTAGCAGACCAAGACACTCGCAGGATTTTTCATGGACCCCTTATGGTCCTTAGCAGTTGGTATTTACGGTGCAAGAGAGGGGATACAGTTTTTTGGGGCGAGGGATGAGGGGGGGTGGGGTAGTACTCAGTAAACCCTAAACCCCAAACCCCTAAACCCTAAACCCTAGCAACGTCATGCTTGGGAGGTTTCATCTGTACTCCCTGCAGCATGGTTTAAGATTGCCTCAAAACCCTATGTCGACTAAACCGTAAACCCCAAACCTTTAACCCCTCACCCCAGCCCTTTGCAGCACCCCTAAAAACTTAATTAAGTTCCTAAGTCTAGACCCTACATCCCTCAAAACCATGGCTTCGAAACACGTCTTTTCGACATCCAAAAACTAGGGGGGCCAGAAAATTTGGTCCTCTGATTCCTTGGGGTTCCTTGTTACACTTAGAGTACAACATAGTTCGAGTCTCTTAGAGAAGCCCGTACTACAGATCTCGTTAAGGAACCGTGAGCCTTAAAGGAGCCCTTTGCCCTATGCTAGCTATTAAAGGCCCCTCTATGGGCATTTCCGAGAAAAGGGACCTCAATATAGTACCCTAAGTAGGAGGATCCTTATTCAAGACCCCAAAATGAGGCACCCCTAATTTTCGGAACCTCCCATATTACATCACCCAAACCACGCTTGTTCGGCCTAGCCCCTCGTGCCATCAGCTCAACAGCAGCACTTAAAGGACCATGGGACTTAGTAGCTAGGGTTATAATTAAAGGGTAGCTATACTTATAACCCCAATTGAGGTACTTATAACCTTACCTACTAAGTCCCATGATCCTCCAAGCAATCCCGGAGCCCTGCAAGTCCCAAACCCCAAATCTCAAACTCGAAGTAGCCCTAAGGGTCCATGCACCGAAATAAAGCACCTTTAAGGGCTCTTCAGGGTACGAGTACTACTATAAGGATTCAGGGTTTAGGGTTTAAGGGTTCATGTGCCCAAACAGTATGTACTTTGGGGCCGATGTACCTACATAGGGATGTACTGCTTGGCTACATGGGCCCCTCAGAGTACCCCTAAACCCCTATAACACAGGTTAGACTACCTCGAGGAGCGTGAGTACGAGGTTTGTGCCGAGGGTATCGCTGTGCGGACGCTGCCCGATGAGCGATCGCCCCGAACTGGCGCCTCGCTGGGGGAGACTCCATGGGGTTCGGAGGTGTAACCCTAAGGGTCCATGTACCCAAATAGTATATACTTTGGCCCCAATGTACCTATATAGGGACTACTTTAAGGCCAAT